GAGGACATCTATCTCGAGCTCCTGCCCCCAGCCGGATCTCTGCAACATGCATTGGGCCTCAGCCTAAGATTCTAGCTCACAGGTATCAAAGAATAATATTCCCAAGTCCCTCTCCATAGCATCTATATAAAACTATAAAGTTCTAAATTTTAAAGCCCTGCTGTCAGGCATGACAATACCTCTGATCCAGAGCACTCAGGAGGCTGAGGTAGGAGCTTCACTTTGAGTTTGAGGCTAGCATGGGCTACATAGTGAATTTATTTTATTTTATTTTTTGTCTTTTTCCTTTTTATCTGTAGTGGGGATCGAACTCACGACTGCCTGCTTGCAAGGCAGGCGCTTATGCCGCTGAGCTAAATCCCCAGCCCCAGCAGATGAGTTTTGAAGACTCTGAACTGGCAGGGAGGGAAAAAGCCCACCCTTTGCTTACCTATTTCAAACAGTGGTATCTTGCAAGGACACACAGCCTGCCTACAAAACAAGCAGGAGTCCTGTGGCCCCTCTGGACTGCTACCTGTCTGAATTCATCAGGGACTCACCAGCGTCCGGATCGGATAGAAAATCACCTCGTTAGAATTATCTCAGCTGTTTTATGGCTAACTCCTGGTCACCTGGAAAGCAAAGGATCAATGGAGAACAGGCTTTAAAAAAAAAAATAAACCTTTGCTTACTACCAAAACAATATCTGAGCTGGATGTGGTATTGCACACTTGTAATCCCAGTACTTAGGAGGCTGAGGCAGGAGGATTGCCATAAGTTCAAGGCCAGACTGGACTACAAAATAAGTTCAAGGCCAGCCTGAACTACATAGTGAAACCTTGTCTCAAAAAGACAAAAATCAAACAAACAAACAAATAAAAACAATAGACACTCTTACCACCCCCACCCTCACATTCCAGCATCAAACACAGAGGCTCTGAACCACTGGGCTCTATTACCAGCTCCTTTTTTTTTTTTTTTTTTTTTTTTTTTTTTTTTTGATAAAAGGTTTTACTACATAGTTCAGACTGGCCTCAAGCTAATAGCAACTCTCCTGCCTCAGCTTCCCAAGTGCTGGGATTACAGGCACGCACCACCACATCTGGCATCTTCCACTGCTTTTTTTTTTTTTTCAAATTTGAGACAAGTATCACTATATTGTCCATTGCAGGCCTCAAACTTGCCATCCTATTGTCTCAGCTCCTAGAACAATTGAGATTACATAGCCCTTATTCTTAATTGAATCCTTACTATTGCTAGAAGAGTTTTGAGCAATTTATTTTTTAACTCAGAAGTTTATTCATCTGCTGGAGCTGGGGCAACCTCTCACTTCCATACGCTTTCATCTCAAGCCTCTGCCAGTTCCTTCTTGATCCCTTCCAGTCATCCTGCCTCTTCTCCCCTGGGGCTGTCCACCTCTCCTCCTCTGCCCAAGGCTTCAGGTAGGTGTAGTGCTTCACTCCAGAGAATATGCCCACAGCCAGGGCAGGGTAGCAGCTGCCTCCATGAGCGGAGAGACCTGTACTGGTAGCACCATCTTGTCCCTGACCTTTGCACCAGAAGCACAACTAAGGTGGAAGAGGCCAAGGGGAGCAAGAAATTTTCAAAAAAATAAAAAAGTAATGTCTTCTTGCCTGCTTGCTGGCACACACCTATAATCCCAGCACTCTAGAGGCTGAAGCAGGAGGAGCACCTGAGTTTGAGGCCAGCCTGGATTACATGGCAAGACCCTGTCTCAAAAAAAAAAAAAAAGTTTCCCAGCAGACATTACAAGACCAGCAGTTTATGCCCCTCCTGGCAGGCCCGGAGCCTAACACAGATCCTTCCAAGTGGCAGATGCACAGGAAATGCCAAGGATAATGAGCATCTGGATTTGAATCTGGCCCTTCAGGACCCATTTCTGAAGTAAGAGGTCACTGCCCCTTCATGGTGTGCACTGCACCCATTGATAAAAGCAGTGCCCTGTTGCTGGACACACTTGTCCCCATCCCTTGCCCTGAGGCTAAGCTTGGTTGGAAGTCACCAGAAGAGCCCTAATAGGACAGGAACAGAAGCTAGGACCAGCATCCTCACCGAGGAGGTCCCTAGGGGGAGACAACCTTCCCTGCACCACCTGGAGGGGCCCTGTCAGATGCAGGAGCCTTGCTGGCCAATGGCTGACTGCCACCATCTCTCTGTGAGCCTGGGACCCTCCTCCCGAAGGTGGGGCCTCTAAGGCTGTTGGTGCGAACCGCACCGAGGGGAAGCCCACTGGCAAGCAGTGAGGAAAGACTGAGTAGAAACAACAAACACATAGGCTGTAGTGCAAGCTGCCAAAACAAACCGAGCGCAAAGGGCTGCCTGCCACCACTTTGGCGAGGCCCAGGCTGTAAGCACGGAGGCAGAACATATACGTGCAGGGAGACACACAGGCCGCTCAGCTTCCTGCCTCCCCACTCTGCTACTGAGGGATTACGGTTAAGGCTGATGGAGGGGGTGGTTGGAGGGAAATGTTAGCAGCCTTGTCTCCCTCATCTCCTCAGTACCTTGTTTTCTAGCCATCTTCTGTCTGTCCAGTCCCTGTACATCCCCAGATATTTGTGAATCTCCCCTTAATCCCTTTGCCAGATTGCTCTTTTACCTGTTTTCTGCCTGGCAAACTCCTATTCATCCTTCAGTACCCATATCAAAGGTGAAACCTTTTGGGACCCCACAAGCAAAATTAAAGTCTTTACATCTCCCCACTTTCATATCATAGCTATTACTTCTTCAATATCTTATTCAGAAAAATTTGCCAACCTTTCCAAGTAGATGTTGAGCTCCTTACATGAAGGAACTGTGTCATATGTACAAACCAAAGGAAGAGATTTTGGTAAATTAGGAGCTATTTTCAGATTTAAACCAAATTACCTTTATAACTAGAGTAAAACATAGTTGCAAACATGTAAGATTAGCTCTTTTCTGTTATTGTCATTGTTTATTTTTAATTTTGGTTTTTTGAGACATTGTCTTTTTTTTTTTTTTTTTTTTTTTTTTTTTTTTTTTGTCTTTTTCCTTTTTATCGGTACCGGGGATCGAACTCACGACTGCCTGCTTCCAAGGCAGGCGCTTATGCCGCTGAGCTAAACCTCCAGCCCCTGAGACATTGTCTTGCCATATAGTTCAGGCTGGTCTTTTTTTTTTTTTTTTTTTTTTTTTTTTTTTTTTTTTTCAGGCTGGTCTTAAACTGACCACTTAGCCAGGGCTGGCCTCAAACTCATGACAACACTCCTGCCTCAGCTTCCCAAGTGCACTGCCATGCCCAGCCTTTTTGCTGTTGTTTGAGAGAGGGTCTTGCTATGTAGTTCAGGTTGGCCTTGAACCCACTGTGTAGCCCTAGCTGGCTCAAACATTTGATTCTCCTGCCTCAGCCTCCCAAGTGATGCAATTATAGGTGTGTTCCACCACACCCAGCAAGGGTTTCAGACTCTTGTAACCTCGAACAACAGTAAGAGTCACAATATATCCTAACTGGTACACATGTACATACAGTTGTCCCTTGGTATTCAAGGATCAGTTCCAGTGTGACCCGAAAGATACCAAAATACAAGGATACTGACTTCAGTTAAATAAGATGTATTTACATAGAACCAACCCATACTCTCCTGTACAATAAACCATCTTATACACATTGGGTTACTTATAGATAACACAATGTAAATAGTTATAAGGCCATGTTTAGAGAATAATGCTAAGTAAAGAAATTTGCATGTGTTCAACACAGACTTGTTTTTAGTGTTTTCAACTAAATCTGAAGATGCACAGCTTGAGGACATAGAGCACTGACTGTATACACCTATCTACCTAGAAAAAGTTTCAATAAAATGTTCCTATTTAAATGACAATCACTTTTTACTTGTTTTTTAAAAAATGAAACTCTCCCCAATATACTGAGCTGAAGGCCCACTGAGTCACTAACCCCCTTTGATAAAGAATGCTTGAGGTATCTCTGGTTTGATGTAAAACGTGGTTATCCCATAAATATCTGAACAAAAAAGCACGGACTAGCTGTCTTCCATAATTAATTACTCTGGAGGAGACATCTTAGTCCCACTGTATAGCCCAATCAGGGGGGCAGCAAAAGTTCTGCCTGGCAGCTGCCTGGGGTACATTTGGACACTGCAGAATCTCAGAATTTGGGAGGCTGAAGCAAGGGGCTCACTGCTAGTTCAAGGCCAGTCTGGGCTACATAATGAGTTCAAGGCCAGCTTGACCTGCACAGAGAAACCCTGTCTCATAAAGACAAACAGGCAAACAAACAACCCCTAATTTCATCCCAGGGAACCTGACATTAAGGTGGCCCCAAAATCTCAGTTCACATACTTTATTTTGGGCCCTCATTCGTCCAGTGCCTGGAACCATCACTGGAGAGAAGCTTAACAAATCCTGAGCATAGAGCAGTCATCTCAGCTGCATCTCAGCAAGGGAATGGACACTTTACCTGTCCAATCCTGAGATCATAGGGATGGGGATTTAGCTCAGGGGTGCAAGCGCTTGCCTGGCAAGTGCAAGGTCATGAGTTCAACCCCCAGTACTAAAAAAAAAAAAAAGAAAAGAAAAGGAAAACAGTGCTGAGATCATGACAAATTCTAGGTAAACATTGGAATTGGCTAGCTTCTGTACTGTATTTTAAACGGTATGTCTGGCTAGGCATGGTGGTACATGTCTGTAATCCCTATACTTTGGGAGGCTGAGGTAAAAGCATTTCAAGTTCGAGAACAGCATGGGCAACTCAGGGACTTCGTGAGAACCTGTGTCAAGTAAGATAAAATAAAATAGCCTGGGGATGTACCTCAGTGCCAAGGCCCTGGGTTCAACTGCTAGTTCTGGAAAAATCAAGCATAAAACTCAGCTTGTTTTATATTATATTACTTGCAGTATAATCTATGGACTCCGTGAAGGCTGGACATGGGTCTTTTCCAGGACCTAATATTTTTTAGGTTTCCCACTCTTCTTGCTCAGATACACACAGAATTATACAGGAAACAGACAGTGCCCATGAGTGGCAGGCGCTAAAACAACTTCATACTTTTTATTGTCCAGGATAAGAAAAATCCACTGGTTGGGCCCCATAAGAGAAATTACCTTCCCACCCTCAGTTCAGTCTTTCGGGCCGAGGAAATGGGCTTCCTCTTACATGGCTCTAGCAGATGGTCCATAACAGTACTTAGTACAAGAGTCAAGAGAGCCGCGTTGGGACCTAGCTGTGTATGGTGATGGTAGGACTTCGTTTGATTACTTGGGCGTGACCCTGAAGACCCGGATGTGGATGGCTGAGTTGTTTCGGGTTCGGGTTAGTGGCTCCCGCGTATCAGTCTCTGGTTCCAGCTCATCCACAAGCTCCACAGTGGAGGTATTGGCAGCCACCTGCAAAGATCCAAAGCTGCCCGCCTGCAGCTGCAGGGCAATGTTGATAGCACGGTTGATGGCCAGGCCCAAGCCATGAATGTAGATCTCGGTGCATGCATTCTGACCTCGTGCCCCGCCGTCCAGCAGCTTCTGGCAGCGAGCCAGTTGGGCCTTAAAGTCAGTCTTCATGTTGACATAAATGTCATTGGGCCTCCGGGGCAAGCGGTGGGGAAGGCGTTTCCTAAGAGTGTACTCCACTGGGTCCAGCTCAGCCTCGACGGCACCACGGGGCTCTCGATTTTCAGCCATGCTGCGAGAGCTGCCACTAGATCGGAGAGATCACAAACAACTTAGCATCAGTTTTACAAAGAGTGCATCCCGGATGGGGCGTGCTCCATGCCTCTCCCCTTCCAGCTTCTGAGTTTTCATTCATTCGTTGCATCGCGCCCAACCTTACGCCCCACCGCCGCCCCCTTACCCAGCTCTTCAGCGCCTACCCTGTCCGCTCCACAGCGTCCTCCACGCGCACGCAGCCCGTTCCCGGCCAGGCCACTCCAGAGCTCGCCAACCGTCCCAATTGAAGACCGCTGCCGTGACTCGTAAAGTCCGAGAGAAGGGAAGAGAGAACACAAGGGAAGCACAACGAGAACGCTAGAGAGAAGCTCCCAGGAAAGCTAAGGAGTGCGCACGCGCTCCGCGTCCCGCCCCACGCCGAATCGCCTTCCCGGCCTCCGTTCTCACCGCCCCTTTTCTGAGCACTCGCGCGAACTCTCGAGGAGTTTGGCACCGCGAGACTTACCGGCGTGACGGGATCTACACGCGTACGCCGGGGGGCGGGGCGAGGAGGCTGGGGGCCCAGCTAGAAGGGGAGGGGTGAGTTTTCTGGGTGAGTGTAATTCCAAGCAGTGGAGGGCTCCACGAGCCGAAACCGTGCCGGAAAGTGCTAGGCGCGTGGAAGATTGGGGATGGGGGTGTGGGCAGGGAGTGGGGCAAGTTTAGAGGTGCGTGGTCTAGAAGGGGCTTGAAAGCAAACTGGACTCCGCTTCCTTCGAGTTCCCCCTGTCGGCAAAGGCTTGGGTAGAGCGGACCTCTGGTCTCTGCAGCAGTTCACGGGGATCCACCCCGCAGCCGCCGCCCCCAGCTTTGGGGCCGGTGACCCAGGAGCAGCAGCTTGCCGCCCCCTACCGGGCAGGCTAGTGAGACCAGGTTCTGATACTGAACTGCATCCCCAGCTCTCTTACTTTTGAGATCAGGCCTGGCTAAATTGCCGAAAGTGTGCTCGAATTTGGAATCCTCCTGCCTCCCAAGAGTGCTAGGATTACAAGTGTGTGCCACCACGCCCAGCTTCCTGTCTAGCTTCTGGCCAATTCCCTTTGGAAAGAGACTTGCGTCGTTGACTGCCCCGTCTCTCAACTGGGATACTAATTTCTGCCGTGCCACTGAGCTGTGAAAGCCAGTGTGATCCTGCAAACTGTAAACCTGCACATGTGAGTTGACATCTCTGACGCCCAAACCATTCTCTAGCTTCCTAGGACATAGTTTCACTGCATTTGACCCAAGGTTGGAAAGAAGGTTTTGCTCATTCCCAGTACCAAATAAATCCTGGCATTTTCTTCTTCTGCTCCATTGTTTTCGTTAACCACAAGTTAAAATGGAAGATTCAAGAAAAAGATTAGTTCTCTCCAAATTGATCTATACGTTTAATGCAATTGCTATGAAAATCTCAGCAAAAACTTTTATATACATAATTGTATTCTAAAATTTAGACAGGGAAAGGAAGTCAGGCATGATACATGAATGCAATCCCAGTACTGGAGGAGCTGAGGCAGGAAGGTTGTCACAAGTTCAAGACCAGCCTAGACTACATGGCCAGACCCTATCTCAAAACAAAAAACAATGCAGTAATCAAGGAAATGTTGTATTGGCTGAATGATAGACCCAAAATTGAAAAAAATGGTATGGAGAGATTGGCAGTCCACCAAGAAAGCTAACTTGGTGTGTGTGTGCTTTGACAACGGTATAAAAATAGTTCCCAGTAGAGAAAACATGTGTTTTCAACAAGTGGTGCTGAAGCAATTGGACAGTAGGTCAAAAAATGAACTTCAGCAATTCAAAATGGATGGCAAATCAAAATATAAAATCTGAAACTATAAAATGGTTTAGATGGGCCAAGCATCATGGTGCATCCCTGTAATCCTGGTGCTTGGGAGGCTGAGGCAGGGGGATCTCAGGAAGTTTGAGACCAGCCTAGGATACACAGTATGTTTAAGGCCAGCCTGGAGTACATAGCAAGACCTTGTCACAAAAGAGCAAAACAATAAAACTTCTTGGATTCAAACATAGAGGGAAATCTTAGGTAGGGTCAGGTAGAGTTCTTAGATGTGGTTCCAAAGGAACAATTCATAAATTTTTTTTTTTTTTTGTCTTTTTATCGGTACCGGGGATCGAACTCACGATTGCCTGCTTCCAAGGCAGGCGCTTATGCTGCTGAGCTAAATCCCCAGCCCCAATCCATAAAATTTTAAAAACCCTGATAAGTAGAACTTCATCAAAATTGCAACCCGCTGCCAGGCATGGTGGTGCAGGTCTGTAATCCTAGCACTTGGGAAGCTATGGCAGGAGGATCACCATGAGTTCAGGCCAGCCTTTTTTTGTCTTTTTTTTTAATCAGTACCAGGGATCGAAATCACAACCGCCTGCTTGCAAGGCAGGTGCTTATGCCACTGAGCTAAATCCCCAGCCTCTGGCCAGCCTTATACTACATAGCGAGACCAGGTCTCAAAAAAAAAAAAAAAAAAAAAAAAAAAAAAGGCATGAAAATTTCAATCCATGATGAATGTAATCATTATGTACTATAAACTTGTACTAATAAATATTTTTAAAAGTTTCAAATCAAGAGAAGCTACAGGCTTGGAGAACATAACTCCAAATCATATAGCCAGCAACAGATTTGTATAAAGAACTTTCTAAATTCAAAAGTTAGAAAACAGGCTGGGCATGGTGACACATGCCCGTGATCCCAGCATTTGGGGGTAACTGAGACTATCCTGGATTACACAGTGAGACTTGTCTCAAAAAAAAAAATTACAAAATAGGCAAAAAAAAAAATCTTTGGCATTTCTGTTTTAAAAGGGTATAAAGGTGATAACTAAGCATATCATAAAACATTCAAACATGGCATACACTATAATCCCAGCACTGGGAGGCTGAGGCAGGAGAACCACAAATTTGAGCGCATCCTGAGCAACTTAGTGAGTTAGACCTTGTCTGAAAAGAAAAAAAAAAGAACTGGGGATGTAACTCAGTGTGAAGGTGAATGCCCTGGGTTCAATCCCTAATAATATTAAAGTAAAATAAATGTTCTGTATTGTTAGCCATTAAGGAAATGGACATTAAAGGCACACTTTGATAATGCCTCTCACTTACTACAATAGCTAAAATACAAATTCTGACAATACCAAGTGTGGATGAGTACGGATCTTTCATGGACTGCTTATGGAAATGTAAAATGGTCCAGTCACTCTACAAAACAGCTTGGCAGTTTCTGTACGATAGAGCCCAGCAAAAGCATTTCTAGGCACATAGCCTCAAAACCCATAGTCAACATCTACTGCAGTCCTACTCACACTAGCTCCAATTTGGAAGCAATCCAGATGTCTTTTAATTGGTGAATGGTAAAATAAACCCCGGACTACTGCAGAGCAATCAGAGCTGGATCAACCTGTGGGGGTGTTAAAATACATATGATGGCTTTTCCTGTAAGCAGCCTGAGGTGACCAGTAAAAATGGTTCGCTATGCTCTTGACACAGAAAACCCCACAAAATCTTGCAAATCAAGAGGCTCAAACCTTTGTGTTCACTTTAAGAACATCCATGAAACTGCCCAGGCCATCAAAGGTATGCATATCTGAAAGGCTACCAAGTGTCTGAAGGATGTCACATTGGAGAAGCATTGTGTGCCATTCTGGTGTTACAATGGTAGAGTTGATGTGCCCAGGCCAAACAGTAGGGCTAGACACAGGGTTGGTGACCCAAAAAGAGTGCTGAATTTTTGCTGTACATGCTTAAAAATGCAAATAGTGATGCTGAACTTAAGGTTTTAGCTGTAGACTCTCTGGTCATTGAACATATCCAGGTGAACAAAGCACCCAAAATGCACTGCCACACTTACAGAGCTCAGGGCCGGATTCACCCATACATGAGCTCCCCCACCTACACAGATGACCCTGACCTAAAAGGAACAAATTGCTCCTAAACCAGGGGAGGAAGTTGCACAAAAGAAAAAGATATCCCAGAAGAAACTGCAGAAACAAAAACTTATGGCACAAAAATAAATTAGGCATAAAATAAATGCAAATAAAAGAAAAAATACAAGTTATATAATACTGGGGTAAGCAATTCATATTTTGATGTAAAAGACAAGATGAGCAGGGGCTGGGGATTTAGCTCAGTGGCATAAGCGTCTGTCTTGCAAGCAGGCAGTCATGAGTTCGATCCCCGGTATCGATAAAAACGAAAAAGACAAAAAAAAAAAAAAAAAAAAAAAAAGGACAAGATGAGCAAATAGTATGAACTAACCAAGCATGGTGGTGTATATCTATCCCAGCACTCTGGAAGATGAGACAGGAGGGTGACAAGTTCTAGCCTCAACAATTTAGTAAATTAGTAAGTCCCTGTCTCGAAATAAAAATGAAAATAGAACTGGAGATGTGGCTCACTGTGAAGGCCCCGAGTTAAATCCTGAGCACCAGAAAACAAACAAATTCCATAGTATGAACTACGTGAAGGATGCAGCAACGTACAGGATTTGGCGGTGCCTCTAGGCAGAATACGATCTTGTGGCTTCAGATTTTTCTAGAGGAAGCACAAGCTGAAGCTGAGATAGGAATGTCTAGCAGTGGTGCTGGTATCTTGGTGTAAAAGGCAGGTGCTGAAGGGCTGAACCTTGGGAGGTTGGGGCCAAAGGGAGGGACCAGAGAAGACCTGACACGTTGAAGTTTGTGAGCTAGGGAAAAAACCAAAGGAGTATAGTGTCTTGGAAGGCAGGTGAAGAGAGCATTTCTAGGGAAGGGAGTGACCGGCTATGTCACAGACTACTGACAGGTCACCTAAGATAATGGGCCAGTGGACTTAGCAATGTAGAGGTCATGGGTGACTTGAGAAATAGCCAGATACATATGGTTTTTTGGGGTAGTCTTACTATGTAGCTCAGGCTGGCTTTGAATTCATGCAATCCTCCAGCCTTGCTCTCCTGAATTCTGAGATTGCACCATCACAGCCATTTCTAAGCAATTATATGGACAGTATTTGGTCAACAAAGACAATTTAGCTTCTGGCAGAAAGTATTTACTAATGCAAAAATTAGTTTTAAGGCCTGTTATGTCTGATAACTAATAATGAGCACAGACTATGAGCAATCACTGCATGACTCAGATTGTGTAACTTTTCAAGACACTCAAGTTTTACAGATTTTGTTGTCCATATAACACAGACCTTATCTCTTTGCATTTCATGGGGAGGAAACACCACAAAGGAATCTTACCATTATTAGCTAGGGGTTTAGCTCAGCAGCATAAGGCCTGCTTGACAAACACAGGTTGTGAGTTCAATCCCTGGTACAAAAAAAAAAGATGGAATCTACCATTATTTAAAAGGGGGGGGGCAGGCCAATGCTCTGGGAGGCTGAGTCAGAAGTATCCCAAGTTCCAGCCCAGCCTGAGCAACTTACTGTCTCAAAACTTAGCATGAAGGCCCTGTGTTTAATTCCCCAGCACCACAATAAAGTCATTTTAAAAAGGCAAAGGGTCTTGGTGTGTATAGTTCAGTGGCAGAGTGCCTAGTATGTGCAAGCCTCTGGGTTCCACCCCCAGCACTGCAAAGTATAAAAGGAAAGGTGGAATTTGAGCTTAGCTGTTTAGTTTTGCTTGAAGCATCTCTTTCACCTTGATGGACCATCTAAACCAAATCTCTGCTCCACTCAAAAGCTTGTATTTTTTTGTCTTTTGGCTATGCAATTCAAACTGGCCTTGAGCTCACTTTCTAACCCAGGCTGATCTTGAACTTGCAACAATTCTCTGGCTTCAACCTCCCAAGTGCTATGCTTGCAGATTTTTAAAGCGCAAATCAAGACATTTCACAGCGTAGTGCCTGAATAAACATTAATATAATAGGCCCAAGTGATTTGCTGGTAATTTTTAAACTTTATATGGGAGACTCAGGTTTTGTTGTGCTTTGTTGTTTTTGGAGACAATCTCACTGTTAGTTCAGCCAACTTTGCATTTTATAGTGCTCAGGCTGCCCTCAAACTCATGGGTATCCTCCTGCTTCAGCCTCCCTACTGCTGGGATTACAGGCACTTCCCACCACCACCTGGGCACACACACAGTTTTGACTTCAGAATTTCCTTTCTCAAAGGGAAAGTTCATACACTTCAATGTCTTCTGTACCGCCTTTCCCATTTTACAGGTAAAAGCCATTATCAGTGTTAGTGTCACCCACAGGTACCCTGGAGACTCAGGGCTGACCCTCCCGTTTCCAATGCTAGAGCTCTCCTGCAGCTACGGGACTACATAGCAAGCTGTTCTCAAAAACTGATGTGAGCTGGGGCTGTAGCTCTCAGCTAACACTTGGAGGCCCTGGGTTTGATCCCCAGTATCACAAAACCAAACAAAGCTTTCCCAGTGGCAACTGAAACTCAACTGGAATTTCACCTTCATTTCATTTATTTTCAGCAGCCTGGACAGTCAATACTCCCAAATGCATACCCACTTTCTGCAAACCCACCCAGTTCCTTCCCTTCCCTCCAGCTCAGTGGGAGCAGTAACTTCCAGTCCTGTTCCCCTGCCCAAGGGTCACTCCTCCTTCTCCCACCATTCCTCTACCCACAGATCCAATCTCACATTTGCTTAGGAACTGCTAAAGCTTTTTAAAAACCTTTTTAAAGACAAGGTTAAAAAAAAAAAAAGTCAAGGTCTTGCTATGTAGTTCAGGGTGGCCTCAAACTCTGTATGTAGCTCAGTTACTTCAAACTCACAGTGATCCTCCTGCCCCAGCTTTCTGAGTACTGAGATCATAGGCATGTACCACCATACCCGAGAACAAAAACTTTTTGAGTTAGAGGCAAAACAACAGCTTCCATGATTTACAAATTTTATTCTAGCAAGCAAATTCACAAGCAAATTGTAGAACTTTGGGGCTGAAGCTTGGAATTTTTTTCTTCCTTAAAAGTGCTTTAGCTCAACCTAGGCTCTCCCTCACTTTAAACAACTCCTCTAGGACTGTTATGCGCCAGCCTGCCAGCCTATTGACACACTTTCAAACAGTGTAAACAACATGAATATTGAGTTTCTAAGACCCCGAAGAACCAGGAACCCCATCAGCTGATATTTTTAATGATCTTGCCCTGCACCAAGCACTGTATTGTGTCTTACAATCCAAAAGCAGCTAATTTGGCTAGGGTCACAGTGGGTAGCCGATGAGGCCAGTTTCTCTTCCTGTCCTGTCTTTTCCTTTTCTTTCTTATTTTCTAGTTTCTTTCTTTTTCTTGTACTGGGGAGTGAATCCAGGGTTTTCACATTGAGCTGCACCTCCAACTTATTATCTTTCTTTTTTCATTTGCAAGATTTTAGACAGGGTCTACATTAAGTTACCCAGGTTGGCCTAGAACTCTAAAATCTTCCTGCCTCAGTCTCCGTAGTGCTGGGACCCTCTTTTTCTTAACTACTGCTGTTTTCCCGCCTGTGAGTGAGCAGAAAGCCTGGCTGCAGGAAAGGCAACAAGTGTGAAAAACAGGCACCACAAATGCTGGCCCCCTCCTGAGAGCAGGAACTCAGTCCCTTCAGGTAGTGGCAGGGCTTCCAGATCTGAGGCACAGAATCCCAGGGCTCGGCCAGGGCGATAAGCAGCTGTGTTAGGAAGCAGGGAAGTAGAGTGTACATTCTCACTGCCTCCCCAAGAAAATGGTAAAAGCACATAAGAACTTTCGCATCCTGAAAAGTTCAAGGCGCTTCAGAGAAATCATTCATCAATCTCGAAAAATTCTGAAACAAAAGAGGTTTCTCCATCTAGGTCGCACATTTGCATAGTAGTTTCCCCTTTTCTCAGCCTTTCACATTCACATCTTTTCATTGTTACAGAACTCCCAAGAAGGGAATGGGGCACAGAGCACTGCTAAAACGGCTCTTTTAAGCCTGTAACTCAGGGCTGGTGTTTTGTGCCTCTTATGCCAACACTCTGGGAAGCAGAGGCAGGAGAACTGCAAGTTGGAGTCCAGCCTGGACACTAGGTAATTTTACCAGACTTATCTCGAAATGAAAAATAAACAGGGCTGGGGATATAGCTCGGCGAGTGCAACGGCCTGACGTTCAATCTTTGGTATTACTAAAACTAAAATTTTTACGAAGTTCCAGAGGAGAACCTGAGGCTGCTAAGCATGAGCTCCCTCGCCGAAGCCAGACAAAACTCCTGGTCTTGCCCGTCAGGCAGCCTCGGGCCCTTTGCGAATCCTTAGACTTGGTCCTCTCCTCGATCCCACGCGAACGAGGAAAACAGAGTTGTGGGTTTTCTTTAGGCTCTTTCAACCCTGGCAGGATTCCTGGGGGACGCCGCTGGCCGCAGCCTGGAGCCTGGGGTACTCGCGGGCAGAGCCGGGCGCACCCCAAGAACCCACCGCCCGCCCGTCGCGGACCCCACGTCACGTGACGGCTGGGCTCCCGAATCACGTGCGGCGGGCGGCGGCGGCGGGGGGGGGTTTACCGGGGGCGGCGGGTGTCTGTGCCGCGCCCTGCCAGGCACGCGCGGAGCCGGGCTGCGGGTCGGAACGCGCCGAGCCGCGGAGGCCGAGGCAGGCGGCGGCGTCGAAGGGGGCGGCCCCGCGGCCCCGCGTCCGCGTCACGTGGTGCGAGGCGGGCAGCCATCTTGCTACAAACACAAACAGAGAGGAGCGGCCGCCGCGGGAGCGCCTGCGCCCCCTCCCCGCCGCCGCCGCTGCCACCGCCACCACCGCCTCCCGGCCCCGGCCCGCCGCGCGCCACCCGCTGCCACCACCGCCACCGCCGCTGCGCGTCGCCCCCGCCTGGGACCGGACCCTGCGCCCGCCCGCCTGCGGTAAGCGCTCGGCGGACCCCGGCCCCGCAGGCCCGCCCCCGACGCCGGCGTCCCCGAGCCCGCGGGAGGCCCTCCCGCGTCCCGCCGTCGCCGCCCCGGCCCCGGGCCCGAGCCCCGGCGTCGGCCGCCCCTCGCGCACCTGCGCCCCTCCCTGAAGGGCACGTCGTCCCCGCGCGCTAACGGTCGCCCCCCTCGGGGTCGCTCGCACCCCTCCCTGCCCGAGGCCCCAGCGGGGAGTGCGCGCCCCGTGCTCCCCATGGGTATCCCTAGCGTGTCGCCGGGTTCCCCTCTCTGCTAGCGGGGCCTGGCTTGCGGGGCTCCTGGTCCAATCGCTCTGCCAGTTTGGCCAACATGGAAGCTTCCCCTCCACCCAAGCACCTCGCCGAGCTCCTCACCTACGTTACTTGCATCTCAAGCGGCCACCTTAGTGCTTGGTCATCAGGGTCCCCTTTCTCCTGGTTGCCCAGCCCCGGGAAACACTTGCCTTTAGCAAGAACCACGGGTCTCCCTGGTGTCGCCAGGCCAGGCTCTTCCCAGCCCGTGCCTTTAATGCAGCAGCTACCTGGCTACAGACACTCACTCTTTGCCTCTTTTTTCTTTCTTTTTTTCTTTTCTTTTCTTTTCTTTTCTTTTTTTTTTTTTTTTTTTGCGAGAAACTTGAAAGAGACCTAGTGTTTCCTCCCTGACCCAGCTGTTACTACAGTTCCCAGTCTAGTTGTGGTTTGTTTCACTCGCATGTTGGCCACTGGGAAATGCTGAATAAATACTGTACTTAGTGGCCGGATCTTTCCTCCCGCCCATCCCGATCTTATTCTCTTCTTGCATCTTGAAGTGCTGCTTTTCCAAAGATTGTCCTTCATGCCATGCCAGCTTCTTGCATTCAGCGATCCACACATGCCTGGGACCAGTAAGCTGCTCTCCTTTGCTGCTTACAAGTGGGAGTTTGGACTCTGGGTCTTTCTCAGCATCTTGTCCTTGCCCCTGCAGGCCTGCCACCCTCCAGCCCTGCTTCTCTGTAGTCTTAGATCTTGATCTTGCAATTGGGAAAGATGTGAAGAAGCCTCAGGACTTTGTGTTCCTGCCGTTGCCTGTGAATCAGAGACCCTTGTGGGTCTCAGATGGTGATTGTAGTCAAGTGGGTTGTGTTTAGACTTCTGGACTGGTTTAGTGAGCCAGTGGAGCCATTGGTACTGTGCTTGATTTGATGGATCAGGAACCCCACATTTTTACATCTGTGTTTGGAGTTTAGGATAGAAAAAATGGCCCCACTTTAGAGAAGATGCCAAGAGGTGACATGTGAAGGATTTTGAAGTCTGAAAAATGAAAAATGGCTTTCCACTGGCCAGGGATGCCTCAGAGAACTCTGCAGTCTTGGGTAGTGTTGACATGGTTGGAGAGTGTGCCCTGACCAGGCCGCTGCTACTCTCTGCCTTGTTTTCCCTGGCTTGAGCCCCCACCTGGGCAAGTGGGCAAAAAGGATCAAATGATGTAGAGTGAAAGTGCTTTGAAAACTGCTAACTAGTACCCAATTGCAGAGAGCTGGGAGAACTAACCAGCACAGTAACTCAGGCTGCAGCCCATTTCAGCCTCTGAGTTCTCCTCCCAGCACCTGAAAAAGGGCCCAGTCACCTCCCAATGGCATGGGCCGGCAGTGGTTCTGTGACTTGGGACTTTGGGGACTGTCTCTATTAACGGTGGTACTAAGTGGTGCCAAGGCACATTGCTCTGGATTGGGGCTAATTTTAGGGGTGATGGAGTAAGGAAATAATGTTCTTAACTTAGCGTGTGGTGAGAGTGTCCATTCCTTACATCCTTTCCTTTTCCCATGTGGTCTGAACTCCAGAGCACTGCCTCTTGGGTCCTTCAAGGCAGTTGGGAGCTCCTGGCAGGGGTATGTACCCTCTCCTCTTGCTTCCAGTAGGGGGCAGCCTTTTAATAGCAGTAATTCAGATGCTAAGAGAGTAAAGGTTCGCTGAAATCTGAAAGAGAAAGGCTGCTGAGGGGGCCAGAAGCTGAGGTAGACAGACAGTGCCAAGGGCAGGTGACAAGGAGTAGGCCTGTGATAGAAAGGAGAGGTGGGAAGGGCAGGGGTCCTGGTCCTAGCAGGCCACCTCTCCCAAGCCTTTCTTCATTAGAAAAGGGATTCAAGTGCTTGTCCTGGAGCGTGTGACCAATGAACTTGGGGTTGGTGCTGGTTTTCTTTTAATCTGTTCTTTTCTTGGGGATTCCCTCCTGGCAGGACTTCAGAGTTCTCTCATGGGATAGTGTAATTAAAGAATTGTTCCCTGCTGCTCTGAGGGGAAAATGAATGAACAGACACTTGGTTCTCCCTCTTCTGTTCTCCTGTAAACTCCAAGTAGACTGTACTGGACTCAGGGATGAGGGATTCTCCATTGGTGCTGTTGTGGATCAGATAGTATTTTTTGTCTTAGAGTCTGTTCTGGGCATTGTAGGGTGTCTTGTGGGATACTTGGTCTTTACCTAAAAGATTCTAGTGGCACCCCACCCCCATCTGAGACAGCCTTGAATGTCTCCATCCATGGCCAAAACTTGGGGGAGCAGAGTTGTCCCCAAACAAGAACCCTCTGCTTCCAGGCAGTGTGGGGACAGAGGCAGTCTGAAGGGAGGATGTAGACCACATGGTGGCCCAGCGCCTGCTTCGCTGGCTGTGTCTTCCTTTGCTTTGGTTCTCAGACCCTTGTCTCATGTCACTTTGCCTCTGCTGCCCCTTCCATTCTTCCTCGTCCCACCCTGTAGTCCCTTTGGTGCCCCCAGAATTAGTGTATGTCCCACTATGAGTGAACCGAGGAGGCTCAAAATTGCCTGTCTTGCTGTCTTGGGTATTATTTGAAGGAATGTGGGGTGTTTTTCTTGCAGTCAGGATGGCATAGGTGTGCAGTGCTTATCCCTAAAGGGCTCTTTTCTCTCAAAGCTTTTTTTCTTTACTTTTTGAAGTGCTGGGAATGGAACCCAGGGTCTTGTGTATGCTAAGCATGTGCTTTACCACTGGCCTCACTGGAGCTTTCTTTATTATTACTATCATTATTATAATTTTTGGTATTGGGCACGGAACTCAGGACCTTGTGCTTGCCAGGCAGGTGCTTATGCCACTGAGCTGTATCTCTGGCCCCTTTTTTTTATTATTGATGCAAAATTCACCATTGACCAATTGTAAGTACAATTCTGAGGTGTTGCATTCTTGCTATGCTGTGCAGCCATTGTTACCAAACCTGCCTACCTAGAACTTTCTCCTCAGTGTCTGCTGAAAATATGGGCCCATTAAACGGCTCCACACCTCCTTCTCCTGCATCGTCTGATCTAACCTGCCCTGGGTTCGTCCTTCAAGAGGAATCCTCCACTGTTGTGTTTGTGACTGGCTGTTTGACTGATCATATCTTTGAGTCCATCCAGTTGCCATGGGATTGCCTAAGGGTTGTGCCCTCCTCCAGTGCAGTGGGAGGAGAAGCTATGCCATGTGGGGACCCATAGCAGCAATGTCACTGAAGCTTTGGAGGGTCAGAGAGGAGGAGATGTTCAGGGCACTTAGCCAGCTTAGGTGTCTCACTCTAGATCCTCAGCTGCTGTGATTCTGGGCAGTCCAGTGTCAGTCATCACATCTTGCTTTGGCTGTGGTGCAGACGAGAGAGCTCCTGTCCTAGGTCCCTGACAGAAGCTTCCCCTCCTCCCTGCAGACCCGGCATCCTGGAGTGGATGGGCACTGCAGACGCGCTGTGGCCCAGCTTCCCTCCCGGCCAGTGACGGAGCCCTCGAGCATCCCTGGACACTGCCTGGCCTTCCTCCTCAGCTTCAGTCCCACCAGGGATGAACCCTCTCCCAAGAGTTTCCTCTGTTGTTGTTTAGAGGGACTGGTCGCTGCTGCTACCCCCACGACCACCACTTGTCAGCCTCAGTGACTCTGACCTGCTTTCTATTCTATGGTGAGGGATCCTTCTACTGTCTGTATCTGAGGACCCTGTCCCCCTGCCTTTCTTTTTTTTTTTTTTTTGTCTTTTTCGTTTTTATCGGTACCAGGGATCGAACTCACGACTGCCTGCTTGCAAGGCAGGCGCTTATGCTGCTGAGCTAAATCCCCAGCCCCTTCCCCTGCCTTTCATTGTTGGTATGCAAGTAGAGGGCTAGGTGCGTGTTCTATTGGGGAAGCTGGCCCTGAGACACCTTGTGTGGCTGTCTTTGGCCCTGGAAGAATTTCTGCCTCTTTCATACTGGTTCCTCTCCTGACCCAGTGCCTAGATTCTAGTAATAGAGCAGCCAATCCTGATTGTTTTCCTTGAGGAAAGCAGTTTTGCTTCTAGGTTTGTCATCCTTTGGTTCATAACCTTTTGCTCTCTGAGACATTTGTGGCTCTGGTGGCTTTGTTTCCTGTTTTATGTCCTGGAATGACCATGAGTACCTTAGTCACCTTTTTATTGAATTCTCTGCTACATTTGCTGTTGAAACTTCCTGGTTAGAGTACAAGTAATCTGAGACCAGGCTTGGGGTGCCACTCTTCAGCATCCAGCTAGTGTCCTGCTTGTGCCTCCAGCAGCTGGGGGCCGCATTAGTCCTGTGGGAAGGGAAGACAGCAGAGACAGGGATGCCATGTGACCCATGAACTTATTTATTTTATTTATTTATTTTTTGTACTGGGGATTGAACTCACAACATTTTACTTCCCAGGCAGACGCTGTGTTGCTGAGCTGTGACCCATGCTTTAACCCCTTCTTACTTGTCCTTAAGGATCATTGCCAGAAGTGAAAGGCCCAGAGGAACTGAGGCCATACCAGTAGCCAGGGGTGTGGGGACCCTAGTTAACTCCAGCATTGACCCCTGCCTGAAGAGAGCCCAGGACCCCCTACCGCTTTTCCGGCAAGACTACCAGGTTAGTGTGCTGGGTTTGGGGGGGGGGGCTGTAGAGGCAGGAGGGCCTCTAGTGTCTCTTTCCTTACACCCCCAGGTCTCCCAGTGGCCCTAACAGCTTCTGTTAATTCATGGTGTGAGTGGCCAGCAGCTTAGGTGAGCCCTTTCCCAGCCCCAGTGAGCCATGAGCTAGCCCAAGCCCAGTGCGGTGCTGACTAAAGTGGGACCAATGGCCAAGCACAGAGGCTGTACAGCTTTATGTCCTGTGTGTTCCTGGCCCCACAGGTGTTTGGACAGTGTACACAAGGTCCTTCCTGCTCTGTTCACCCCCTGACCTCTGGGAAGCACCCCAGCTCCACAATGGCAGCAGAGACACTCAACTTTGGGCCTGAGTGGTAAGTCACACATGCTGGGGCTGGTGTGGTCATGCTGTGGGAGAGGAGCAGGGCCGCTGGGACCCCAGGTGCTCTCGTCCTTCGTGTTTGCTGCAGGCTAAGGGCCCTTTCCAGCGGTGGCAGCGTGGCCTCACCACCCCCTTCCCCTGCCATGCCCAAGTACAAGTTGGCCGACTACCGCTACGGGCGAGAGGAGATGCTGGCCCTCTATGTGAAGGAGGACAAGGTGTGGTGGCTGAGTGGGGAGTGGCATCTGCACTTGTGTGGCCTCAGCTGCAGAGAGGCCCTGACCTGTGGTGTCTGGGCCTTCCTGCCCTGCTGCAGGTGCCTGAAGAACTTCAGGACAAGGAGTTTGCCGCAGTGTTGCAGGAGGAGCCACTGCAGCCCCTGGCCCTGGAGCCTCTGACTGAGGAGGAGCAGGTGGGACCAGTCCAGGCCAAGGCTATGGGGGCAAGGTTGGGGGAGCCGGATTGGTCCAGTGCCTGGCTCCTTACTCCCACCCCTGGCTGCCTCCTCAGAGGAACTTCTCCCTGTCAGTGAACAGTGTGGCTGTGTTGAGACTGATGGGGAAAGGAGCTGCTCCCCCCCTGACTGGGACCTCCCGTGGCAGGGGCAGCACGAGGAGCCGAGGTAGAGGGGTACTGCGGATTCAGGGGCAGGCAGGGCTGAGCTGGGGTCGTTAAAGTGTGGAGAGACACTGCCAAGTTGCAGATGCAGGTGTGTCTGTTGTCCTTCTCTAGGCCGTGGCCGTGGCGACAGTTGCTTTTACCAAAGAAGCATTGAAGAAGGTGATGGAGCCTTTGGGCGAAACCCCCGGGAGATCCAGCGAAGCCAGAGCTGGGATGACAGGTGGGGTTGGAAGGAGGTGGCATAGAGGCAGAGCCAGGAAGGCCTGGGCCAGTGTCCATGGAGGGAGACTAGGAGTTAGCAGGGACCCTCCATATAAGCCCTGGTCAGAGTTCCCTGTGACCCTTTGCTTCCGATTCTCTTAGGGCCTATTTGTCCCTGTGATCTGTTCTGTGTGACCCTTGGTGCTCCTTCCTCCTGAGCCTGTTTTTCCTTCTTCCCTCTGTTCTACCCCTACCCCAGGGCAGAGTGTATAACACTCCTGCAGGGTCAGGGACAGGTACTCTTCTTGACCAACACCTTTCTTTCCTACAGAGGCGACAGGCGGTTTGAGAAGTCAGCAAGGAGGGATGGAGGTATGAGAGTGGCAGGCATGGTGGGTGCCTAGGGGTGGGAGGTAGACTGGGATGGGGGTACCCCCAGGAGGGGCAGGGTTATAGGGGCAGTGGTAGAAGCCAAAGGGCCTGTCCAGGTACCAGGGTGGCTGTCCTGCTTACTGTGTGTATCTTTCCATGGCCAGCACGATCTGGGTTTGAGGAGAGCGGGGCTGGCCCAAGGAAGGAGCATGCCCGCTCAGACAGCGAGAACTGGCGCTCACTTCGAGAAGAGCAAGAGGAGGAGGAAGAGGGCAGCTGGAGACTTGGGGCAGGACCCCGGCGAGATGGTGATCGCTGGCGCTCTGCTAGTCCTGGTGAGATTTAGAGTGGTGCCACAGGGTTCAGGAACTGGAGGGTGTGCTCCTGAGGCCGAGAGGAGGGAGCAGAGGGCTCTGTGGGGTGAGGATGAGGGAAAACAGTGTTGGTGATGCTGGTGGTTCCTGGCATGTCCTATGAATGGCAGAAGAGGGCGATCCTGGCTTGATCTGTGTGCCAATTTTACTTTTCCTTCCAGATGGTGGCCCCCGCTCTGCTGGCTGGCGGGAACATGGGGAGCGACGTCGAAAGTTTGAATTCGATTTACGTGGGGATCGAGGAGGGTGTGGTGAAGAGGAGGGGCGGGTTGGGGGGGGTGGCTCTCATCTCCGGAGGTGCCGTGGGCCCGATGGCTTTGATGACGACAAGGATGGGCTCCCAGAGTGGTGCCTTGATGATGAGGATGAAGAGATGGGCACCTTTGATGCCTCCGGGGCCTTCTTGCCTCTCAAGGTATCTTTAAGGAGAGGAGAGGGCTGTGAAGAGGGTGGAGAGTTACATGCCCCACTTGGGGCCCCTGGCTGCCCTGGCTCCCTCACTGTGTTCTTCCTGCCTCTCGCCCACACAGAAGGGCCCCAAGGAGCCCATTCCTGAGGAGCAAGAGCTTGACTTCCAGGGCCTGGAAGAAGAGGAGGAAGAGGCTCAAGAAGGGCTGGATGAGGAGCAACCTGAGGCAGGTAAGTCATGGGACTACTCAGGGTAGGAGGTTGAGGGATGGTGATGTCAGTCAGTGAGCAGGGTGCTGGCGGCTCACCTAGCTGTAGGGTCAGGCTGCTTAGGACCACAGGCTAAGCAAGTGCTCTGGTGGGAGGGACCCGGAGCAGCGGAGCTGTGCTGAAAGCATGTGAGGTAAGATCACACGTGATGAGGATGGTCTTGAAATCCCTGTGAGGGTCCTCGGAGCACAGGCCTGCTGACATCCTGCAGTGTGGGCTGGAGAGCCACAGGACATTTGCACTCCCAGAGTTTTGTTAGAGGATAGACATGCTGCCCGAGGTTGTTTGTACCACCTTGCATGTGGAGGCCTCCACAGTTTGGTTTTGAGTCCTGATGTTTGACTCTTTTTTGCATTACCAAGGATGCATTACCAACCCTATGGCCTTCACACTGATCTACATTTCTGGTCTTTTTTTTTTTTTACTTTTTATTTTGAGACAGGGTTTTGTTAAGTCATTTAGTTGCCCAGGCTGAGTTTCAACTTATAGTCCTCCTGCCTCAGCCTCTCAGAGTGCTGGGATTTACCAGCTGTGCCACCATGCCCGGCTTTGTGATTGTTCTCCTCCTTCAGGCGAGAAGGAGCTACCCCCACTGCCGCCTCCAGAGAAGTCCACCTCTCCGTCCCTACTGCCCACCTTGGGCCCACTCTGGGGCACGAATGGGGAGGGTGATGAAGCAGTGGAGAAGGAACTCCCCGCAGCTGAAGGTAGGTATGGTGGGGATACCTGTGGGCAGTGCTGGTAAAGAAGGGGCACATAGGGTGTCATTATTGAGGGGGGGCTATAGCAAGAACCCATTTGTCTAGGGGGTGAATGGGAACTGTCCTGTCCCCTTTTCATGTCCCCTCACTTTTTCTAGGAGATGACATGCAGAGAATCCAGCTGAGCCCTAGTATTGGCTCTCCCCCTCCGCCCTCTGGAGACCTGGAAGATGAAGAAGGCTTGAAGCACCTGCAGCAGGTATGGGGATGCCTAGGCAAGCAGAGTGTCATTGCTCATCTGTCTCCGTCCCTGACTACCCATTCCAGATTCTGCCTGGTCTGTGATCCAGCCCTCTTTACCCATGCCAGCCCTGTGTTCCCACACTGACGCTTTGTTGATTGGCATCAGCTTTGCCTCTCTTGTGGGCTCCTAGGAGGCAGAGAAGCTAGTAGCCTCCCTGCAGGACAGCTCCCTGGAGGAGGAGCAGTTCACGGCTGCCATGCAGAGCCAGGGCCTGCGCCACCCCACTGCTGCCACTGCCCTCCCCCTCAGCCACGGCGCTGCCCGAAAGTGGTTCTACAAGGACCCCCAGGGCGAGATCCAAGGTAGCTGTGGGAGCCAGAGGGTTGTGCTCTTTTTGCTCAGGGTGTTGTCAGTGCACCCTCTGACCGTAGTGGCATTGTCCTTTGCCTCCCTCACATGCTTGGCCCAGGCCCCTTCACAACCCAGGAGATGGCAGAATGGTTCCAGGCCGGCTACTTCTCCATGTCCTTGCTGGTGAAGCGGGGTTGCGATGAGGGCTTCCAGCCTCTGGGAGAAGTGATCAAGATGTGGGGCCGTGTGCCCTTCGCCCCCGGTCCCTCACCACCCCCACTGCTGGTGAGCATGATGTTCTGCTGCTGCCCCTTGCAGGGAGGGCTGGTGGGAGGTGGCAGACTGGCAGAAGCAGGCAGGACCCCAGGGACCTTCTCCTGGCTGTGCACACCAGACGTGCTTTTACCCCATGCAGGGAAACATGGACCAGGAGCGGCTGAAGAAGCAGCAGGAACTGGCCACGGCAGCCTTGTACCAGCAACTGCAGCACCAGCAGTTCCTTCAGCTGGTCGGCAGGTACAGGGGCTGTGAGGCTTGGCCCTCAGGCTGGCCAGTGGTACCGCGTGGCCCACTGTTGTGCTGTCTGTCTGTACAGTCGCCAACTCTCGCCATGTTCGCTCCGGGAAAAGGCAGCTATGGGGGACCTGGCACCGCCGCAGCAGCAACAACTCACGACGTTTCTGCAGCAGCTCCAGGCTCTCAAACCCCCCAGGTCTGTGTGGGCATGGGTGTCTGGATTCTGAGGATGAGGCCAAGGGGAGGGGGCCAAACATATGGGTATAGAGCCCTGAAAGTCAGTAGTTTACTCCTCAGAGGTGGAGACCAGAATCTGCTCCCGACGATTAGCCGGTCCTTGTCGGTGCCAGATTCAAGCCCCCTCTGGGACATACATACCTCAGCCTCATCACAATCTGGTGAGTGACTGACTGGCTGGCTCTGGGGAAGATGGGACTGGGTCTGCCTGTCATCCTCACACTGCAGCTACCACTGTGACTGAGTGCCCTCCTTTAGCTGTCCGTGCCTTCTGCAGGTGGTGAGGCCAGTCTTTGGGACATACCAATTAACTCTTCGACTCAGGGTCCAATACTAGAACAGCTCCAGCTGCAGCATAAAGTGAGTAGCTAGCGCCCTGAGCTCAGCACCCCGGCTCAGAGATGGGGGGTGGCTGCATTCCCATCTGTGATCTGCCCCGGCTTAGTTCCAGGAACGCAGAGAAGTGGAGCTCAGGGTGAAGCGGGAGGAAGAAGAGCGGAAACGCCGTGAGGAAAAGCGCCGCCAGCAGCAGCAGCAGGAGGAGCAGAAGCGGAGGCAGGAGGAGGAGGAGCTCTTCCGACGCAAGCAGGTCAGTGCCCCTACCATGGTGGCTGGCTGAGGCTCCGGCTGCTGCCAGTCCCACTTGAGTGCTCCCTCCTCTGCTAGGTGCGGCAGCAAGAACTGCTCCTAAAGCTGCTGCAACAGCAGCAGCAGGCGTCAACCACAGTTCCTGTGCCACCTGCACCCAGCTCACCACCGCCACTCTGGGCCGGCCTGGCTAAGCAGGGTCTGTCCATGAAGACACTGCTGGAGCTGCAGCTGGAGGGCGAGCGACAGCTGCACAAGCCACCTGTGCCCCGGGAGCCACCAAGGGCCCAGGCCCCCAACCACCGCTCGGTGAGCAGGCCACGCCCCCGGTGTGGTGGGCGCAGGGCGGGGGGGAGGGGCACTGGGCCCAGGCTCCTTCCTGTATATCCAAGTGGTATGGTTTTGACATCTCTTCTGCATGGCTCTTAACCTGCTACCTTTCCCTGTACCACATAAACAAGTTGCCCTGCCTAGCTTTCCTGGGCTCCTGATTAGAGCCCTCTGACTTCTTGCCATCTCAGCAGCTTGGGGGCCTGGGTGCTGCCCCCCTGAACCAGTGGGTTTCTGAGGCCGGGCCACTGTGGGGCGGGCCTGACAAGAGTGGGGGCAGTGGCGGTGGCAGCCTGGGGCTCTGGGAGGACACGCTCAAGAGCAGTGGAAGCCTGGCCCGTGGTCTCGGTCTGAAGAATAGCCGGAGCAGCCCGTCTCTTAGGTGGGTGTGGGACCTGGAGGGCTAGGAGGATGGGGTAAGGGGTGCTGATTCCTGGGCTAATCCCTGCCCTCCAATTTCCTACACTCCTCAGCGACTCCTATAGCCACCTGTCAGGTCGGCCTGTTCGCAAAAAGACAGAGGAAGAAGAGAAGCTGCTGAAGCTGCTACAGGGCATCCCCAGGCCCCAGGACGGCTTCACTCAGTGGTGTGAGCAGATGCTACACACCCTGAGCACCACAGGCAGCCTGGATGGTAGGGCATGGCACACACACAGCCAGACATGCTGTGGGGCAGGGCTTCTGGTCTGGCCAGGTGTGCTTGATGGCACTACCATTTCCCACAGTGCCCATGGCTGTTGCCATCCTCAAGGAAGTGGAGTCCCCCTATGATGTACATGATTATATCCGTTCCTGCCTGGGGGACACTCTGGAAGCCAAAGAATTTGCCAAACAATTCCTGGAGCGGAGGGCCAAGCAGAAAGCCAGCCAGCAGCGGCAGCATCAGCAGCAGGTAAGTGCTCAGGGGGTCTGGGGAGGGGTGCCACACACCCGCTTGACTCACCATCCTCTCTGCTGCCCTAGGAGGTATGGCTGAGCAGTGCCTCCCTGCAGACAGCCTTTCAGGCCAACCACAGCACCAAACTTGGCCCTGGGGAGGGCACCAAGGCCAAGAGGCGGGCACTGATGCTGCACTCCGACCCCAGCATCTTGGGTGAGCGTGGGGGTGAGGGGACTGCAGAAGGTACTTGGCTTCCTTCTTGGACGTCCAGAGGGGACTGGGGAAGTTCATGCCCAGTTCTTCATGGCTTTAGGGTACTCCCTGCATGGACCTTCTGGTGAGATCGAGAGCGTGGATGACTACTGACCAGCCTGTCCCACTAGCGCCCTGGGCTTGAGGCCAGGAGTGGCAGCCACAGCTTGGACCCTCGGGTCCCCAGTCTGCAGGCTCCCAGCAAGGAGCAGAGGAGGAAGCAGGGGCAGGGTCCCCAGCACTTGTTACAAACCACACGATGCACCTTAACTCACCCACCACGAGGCACTTTACAGATTGGGGGGGAAGGGGTTTTTTCTTTTTTTTTTTTTTTTTAATTTTAAATGACTGAAGAAAACGTTAGGAGACAAAAAAATTTTGTTAAAAAGCTAGATTCTAGACACACTTTCTCCCTGGGGGGATAGTGTGATAATGGAAGGTCCACAGAAGTTTTGTTTGCTTTTTTTTAAGAAAAATGATGAAAAATAATGAAAAAAAAAGTTAGGCTGAAAGGAAAAACACACTGTTATTTAGGGCAGTGGGGACACATGCCCCATGGACCTGTCCTGCCTGGCCCCTGAGGCTGAACTTACCCTGCTGTCCCCGGAAGGTGGGCTGTTGGGGTAACAAAGCTGGGGCCCCAGCAGTTTGCACAGCGAGGCCCCCTCAATGCCCCGCCCACCGGACCCGCTGTGAGCAGCTCCCTGTTGCTGTGACTGTGGCAGAGGTGTCCAGGGTAGGGGCCAAAGTCACCCCTTGGCTTCGCTGCTTTGGGGGAAAGTTGCACAAATTGGACAAGTCGCCTCAGCCCCCAGCTGCCATTCCATGCGCTAGCTGATGGGGAGATGGGGAAAGGCCAGTTGGTGACCGCCTTCTGTCAGGGGCGGACTTGGACTCAGGCCTGCTGAGGGGCTTCCCCCACCGCTGCCATTTCGGGAGCCTGCCGGCCTGGTGTGATGCCGAAAGCCCCAGCTCCCTGCCTTGCCACATGAATGTATTCTTTGGTTCCCAAGCCCCCCCCACCGCCTTACCTACCCCCAGAGGAGCGGAGTGGTTCCTCTAGGAGCTGGGAAGGCGCTACTTCACAGCTGGCAGAGGCCAGTCCTTGCTGTCAAGAGGGGCAGGAGAGCCTCAAAGGGCCAGAAGTGGGCGGCTCAGGTGGAGGCTGCTGCGTGCACCAGAGCGCCCTGCCCCCAGGCTGCCGTGTGGGGTGTGGATCACCCAGCTCTGCGCCCGACCCTTCGCTGACCAAATGGGAGAGGAGCAAGAGGCCTCCCCTCGACGTGTTTTAAATGTCGGGTAAGGCTGGGGTCAAGAGTGCAGGTGTCTCCTGTTGCTCACCGACTTCTCCTGACCCCCACCTGGGCTTGTCTCCATTGTTTTTGTTTGTTTTTTTGGTGGTTTGTCTAACCTTTTGCATTCTCATCAAACTTCTCCCATCGACCTCATTGCTGAGTGCAGTATTAGGGCGACACTGCCACTGCCTCCCTCCATGAATGTATTGCTCCTTACTGCCCTGGGGAAGTGGGGAGCTGCCCCAGTTTATTTCCCCATCTATCTCCAGAGAGAAGACTTTTTTTTTCTTTCGTTTTTTTTTTTTTTTTGGCACCAAAGTGGCAACTGGGTCAGTGTTGGGGAATAAGCTGGCCTCGGGGTGGCAGGGCCCCTCCACCTACTTCTCCCTGGTTTCGACAGTGTTAAGTGTCCGTGAAAAGACAATATTCTCTATAAAGCAATAAGGGGGTGATGGGCCAGGGGGAAATGTCTTGCTGCTGCTGGCCCCCCAGCTCCCCCTTCCCTCTTGCCAGTATGGTGGCATTAGAGGGGTAGGGGAGACTCCTGTTGTGACTGAATGTAACCACCCTGCCCCTGCCACAGCCAATGCAGGGGGAGGGGGACACTTCCTGTCTCTTCCTGTCCCTTTCCCCCCAGAGCTAAAGAGACTTTGAGTTGGGGGCCCCACAAGCCTGGAGAGGCCTTAACCCTGTGAGGAAGTGTAGGGGGAGCCCTCTCCCACCCCATCCCCTCTGAGAGTGGTCAATGTTTACAAGCCCTGAGTCCCACCCAGGGACTCAGATCCCATTGCTGTCCTGTCCCAGTCTTCCTGGGCCCTGCTGCCCCCCACCTGGGATTGGGGTGGAAAAGGGGTCATTCTGTGTTCCCTCATCTGCCTTGTACCTACAGTTCCCCCCACTTCCCCATGTGACTGTCCCATCCTTCTACCTGCCCCATGTAAATACTCCTAATAAAACTTGGTGTGTGTTCCCCCTGTCCACTGCTGCTCCTGGCTTTGTTTGGGAAGGGACTTGAGGGATGAGTGGGGAAGGCTCAGGGCCTGGAAGTGAAGGAGCTGGGGTGTGGGGAGACCAGTGTGGGGCGGCCAGCCTCTGGGAACATCTCTGATCCTGCCTCTGGCTTACGCTTTGCCTAGAGAAAAGGCCTTTCCTCCCTATACCCCCGTCCCCCCTCGTAGGGGTCCTCTTTATCTGTGGTCTGCCCTCAGCAGAGAAAGGAGGAAGACAAAGCAAGGGAGGACACTGGGTACAGAGGTGGAATTGGTTCCTTTATGGAAAAACTGAAAATAATTAAAAAATTAAAATAAAACCAGTTTTAAAAAAGCCAGCCCCTGGAGTTTCTACCTCCTGCCCCTGGCCATCCAGAGAGGTGAGGCCCTAACTCCAGGGCAGCAAAAGGATAAGGGCTTTCTGCCCACCTCCTCTTCCCCTATACCATCCCCATCTTTTTCTCCACAGTGGGGGCCCCCCCTCCCGGGAGGAACCAAACCTGGGTGGGGAAGCAGGGACCGTGGCCCCGTGGCCCAAGGAGGGAGGCTTGGTGTGGACCCAGCCCCAAAGCTCCTGGCCTGTAGTGTGGGCGTGGGCAGGGCCCCTCCTGGCCTGGGCCCAGCTGGGATCGGGGCAGTTAGTTCCAGATCTTGAGGAAGGAGTCCCAGGAGCCTGTGGCCACAGCCATGCCATCATCAGTGACCCCAAGGCAGCTCACTCGGTTGTCATGGCCAGCAAGGACACCTGAGAAAAAGGCATGTTGACAGGCCCCAGCTGGGCTCTGGGTTCTGTGCCGCCGCCCCCCCCCCCCAGCACCCAGGCCTCACCTGCGCGGTCCCCCTTCATAGCATCCCAGATGTTGCAGTTGAAGTCATCATAGCCCGCGAGCAGCAGCCGGCCACTGCGCGAGAAGGCCACCGAGGTGATGCCACAGATGATGTTGTCGTGAGAGTACATGAGGAGTTCCTGATCGGCCCGTAGGTCAAACAGGCGGCATGTGGCGTCATCAGAGCCCGTGGTAAAGGCATAGCCGTTGGGGAAGAACTGTGGGACAGATACAGGGGGATGAGGGTGGAGGGCAGGGCCAGGACTTAGGAAAGCATGGCTGGCGGCTTGACCCCAACTTACAGCCACGGCGTTGATGTCGGACTCATGACCAATGAAGGTCTGTCGGCACATGGAATCCCGCACGTCCCACAGCTTGATAGAGGCGTCACAGGCACCTGATACAAAGGTGCGTCCATCGGGAGCCAGTGACAGGGACATCACATCCCCACTGTGTCCAGCAAAACCCACAGTCTGCTGGCCTGTCTCAATGTCCCACAGGGCACTGGAAAGGGGACAAGGAGGAAGGGATCAGAGATGGGGGGTGAAGGACACATGGAGGGCCCAAGCCAGGGGCCTCAGGTTGCAGTCCTGTTGAGCAATGGGACAGGGCTGTGAGAAGTACGGGTAAGCCCAGATTGCCCATTCCTGTGAGGCCTCACCAGGTGGTATCCCCAGAGCTGGTGATGATTTGGTTGTCATCCAGAAAGCGGCAGCACGACAAGTACCCTGGGGAGAGAGGCTGGTCAGCTGAGTCAATGGGAGGGTAGCACAGCCCCTCTCCTACAGCAAAGCCCTTGCCTGCTGAACCCCTCTCACCAGTGTGGCCAGGCAGCTCCCGGCTGACCCTGACATTGCCTTCTCGGGTCTTGAGGCTGTAGATGGAACAGATGTTGTCCAAACCCCCACAGGCCACAAAGTTCCCTGAGGGCGCGTAGGCACAGGTCATGACCCAGGAGGAACGAAGTGGGATGGCATGGACCTGTGGAGGAAGGGTAGTGCCAGGCTCAAGGACAGCCAGGACTCCGAAGCCCAGTGCCACGCCAGCTTCCCTCAGGTAGTGCCTCTACCTTGTTGGTGGTGTAGCTGTCCCAGATGATGAGCTTCCCATCCTGGGAGGCGCTGACCAGCAGCCTGGGAGACAGGTCAGGGAGAGGCAGCAGGTCAGGGTGTGGAGGCAGGCCACCCTCTCCCATCTGGAGACAGTAGCTCAGGTATCCTGTCTGTGGTCCTACCTTTCCTGGCTCACCAGTGATGCCCAATCCCATCAGACTTCAGAGGCCATCCTCCCTCCACTGCTGCTCCAGCCAATATAAGATCATCCCTTAGCTTGTGAGCACCAAAGCTGAGCACAAAGCCCCACCCTGGCCACCCACACACCTTGAGTCTGTCCCCCAGTGCATGGCATAGATTTTTGCAAGATGCCCCCGGAGAGTCCTCCGTGTCCTCATCTGGATTCTCCCCACTGGGTCCAGCCCAGCTGTGATCTGGAGGTGGAAACACAAGGGCTCAGGCAGAACCAGGCAACAAGACCTCAACCCAATGACATGCCTCCAGCCCTTACTCCTGAGTCCCCAGGTGCAGTGGCCTCACCTGGGTCAGCGTTGAATCCCCACATGCTTTTCGGGCATCCTGCAAGAGATGGCAGAGCCGGAGAAAAGCAAAAGAGAAGAAGGTTGGGGAAAGAAAGGAAAGAGAAAAGAAGAGGAAAGGCAGTGGGTAAGAGGAGACACGCAGAGATTAGGGCATCCTCCCCATCACTCAGACAGCCCCCTAGGGAAGTAAAGCAGGCAGCAACCCCACAAGCAGCAAGGCCCTGCCCCTCAGCTTCCCCATCCCAGAGGCGGCCAGGCCCTCACCCGGATCTGATTCCGAAGCTGCTCGGCCTCCTGTCTCAGTTGCTCCAGCTCACTCATGGCGCCGGGCCCGTGGGGCGGGGTTGGGGGCGGCTGGGGGCCGCGGGACGGGGGCTGGGGGAGGCAGCTCCTGGCCGCTGGCCCGAGGCCTGGGGGATGCAGGGCTGACGTCAGGCCCCAAGGCCGCTGCAGCCGGGCAAGCAGGGGGAAAGGCGGGGTGGACGCGCCACCCGGAAGGGGTGAGCTCGGCAGGGAGAGGGGCAGACACCGCTCCCCGAGCAGGACAAGGGTCTCTGGTACGTTAGCACCGGTAAGACGTGGCCGAGAAAGGCGACTTCCCCAATCTTCCTCCCGCCCCCCGGAAATGTAGCGGGAAGTGCAAGAGGAAACGCAGGGGAAACCCCTCCCTCGGACAGCAGCAGACCGGGCGGGACACCCGCGGCAGGAACTGGGGAGGGGGGGGGGAGTCCCTTCGAAAACAGACCTGGCGTCCGCCCCAGCCCGCAAGGCAACGCCCTCCCAGCACCTAATTTTAAAAGGGGCGGTGCCTCTTTAAATTCACCCCCACAAGCCGCACACCCTCAACACACACCCCCCCAGCTTCTATAGTGGGGGGGAGTCCAGAGTGGGGAGGTTGGGCTGTTCGTGGGGTTGCCTAGGCAACCGTCACCCGGACTGAGAGCACCTCATTGGTGAAGTGCCCCCACCCTAGCCCCGTTACCAAGGGAACCGCATCCCCAGCAGAGACCTGTAGGGTGGGTGACCCCACCCCCGGCCCCAACGCCCCCGCCCCACCCAGCCTCCCCGCCTCTCCCTAGAACCGGCCGGGGTAGCTGTTTACAGGATTTGGGAAAAGCCGATTGGGCACTAATAGGTTTGGGAAGGCTCACTCCGGATAATCTCAGTGCCGGCTGCACCCCATTAGCCGTGCGCCGCGGGTGGGGGCGACAGCGGCGGGTAAGGCAACCCAGAGCCACTGCTCCCCTCCAGAGCCCCGGCCCGCCACCTGCCCGCCTGAGGAGCCTTCAAAGCCCGTGGGAGCCGTGCTGAAGTAATTAGGGCTCCGAAGAGAGGCCCCCGGCCCTGGGGCGCGGCGCTGCTCTCTCCCAGGCGCCGGCGAGCGGCCCCAGGCGGCCGGCTCCCGCGCCCTCTGCACCTCGGGGGCTCAGTCTGCGGGCGCGGCGCCGGGTCCCACAGGGTCTGGCTGGTTCTGCCCAGTCCCCGGCGTCCTGTTCCCCCTCCTCTGCCCCGGGGACACCTGTGCGATCTGGCCGCTCACACTGCATGGCTGAGCCGGGGTCTGCCACCCAGCTCCCACTTCCCCCAGCCCTGAGCGTTCCTCTTCCCCACTGATATGTCCCCCTCCCTAAATACTACGCAGGCGCCAGGGGATGCCCCTGCCCCGGGGGCACGGCCCTACCCCACTCCAGGTGTGGACACGGCCCGGGACCCGGGAAGAGGAAGCGACCAGGAGGAAGCCATTGGAGGCGGGGGCCGCGCTTCACCTCTCCATCCCATCACCCTCCGAGACCGCTCGGGGGATTCTGGGGATACGGCAGCCAGGGCCCCAAACAGAAAAGGGGGTGCCACCGCCTCCGCCAGTGTGGTGGGGCGCAAGGGAGGGGACAGAGAGGGTCCCCCGATCTGGCAGCTGGGAGGCGCAGGCTAACGCCGCGCGCTGCGGAGCGCAGTGGACCTGGCCCTCCCGGCCCCCACGACCTCCATTTTGCCCGAAGAAAACTGGGCGGGGGGCAGACGCTTAGAAGCTAAGCTTGGGGTGAGGACTTGCAAGGGGACGGGGTGCCGAGGTCTCCAGTTTGTTTGGGGCCAGAAACCATGGGCAGGGCGCAAATCAAGGGTGGGGTGGGGACGACGGCAGGGTGGCCTCGCGGCCTTGCAGTCTGTCCCAACATTTTGGAGTTTTGCAAGGCGAATTCCGGCGAGGGTGCGAAATAAGAGAACACGAGGGGTGCCACCCCGACCGGCGGGAGCTGGGGGTCAAGGGGGCGGGACGGGGCCTAGAGGAAGCCCGGAATTTAGCCCCCAACTACTAAGGGAGCTAGAGGCAGGCAGGGCTGGAATGGGGTCTGGGGTCAGGAAAACGCAGCCGATGGTACAAGGAACGCATGCATTGCTGGGGCTAAGGGTCCCCCGGTTCCCCTTCCGGGTTTGGGAGCGATGGGGCCAGAGGAAGGGAGGGGAGGTCTGGCGAGTTACGTCCGCTCCCAAGAGCCAGACCGGGGAAAGAGACAGGAAGGAAATTTAACTCATGGGAATTTGGGGCTGGGGGAGATGAGGACTCCTTTTGTCAGCGGAGGTACCTGTGGCGGTGGGAACTCTGCGAAGGGGGTCGCTGGCGGAGCGGGGGAGGTCCTGTCTTCCTCCGCGGCGGAGGCGGCGGCGGCGACGCGGATGAATTTCCTCAGTCACTCCAACTCAACCGTCCAGCACTGCTCTCCCCAGAGCGGAGGGATCCCGCCCGCCAGTGACGCGGCCACCGCCGCCGCCGCGCCCAGGGCCCGGCTGGACGAGACCACTACCAGAGGGGGAGACCAAAAGAGAGAACACCATTTCAGAGGTACAGACTGACTCAGTCCCAAGAAGATACTATCCTACATTATTTGAACGCAAAAAGCACTAATATTAATGGTTCGCTTCCCTAAAAGAAGCCAGACATTTCCCCTCTGGGGTAGCACAAGTGGTACCGGCGCAAGGGAGGGTAAAAACCCGCTCGCGGGCCACGTGATCGACCTCCAGCCCCTCCCGGACTGGGCGGCTCCAGACAGGGAAAAGGGAGCTCTAAAGCCCAGTTCTCGACCTGGCCACGCCCCCATCCTAGTAAGGTCACGCCCCGTCCGGAGGCGGAGCTACAAAGATCCGGTTCCGAGCAGGATTTGGTGTCCAAGCAAAGAAAGAATAGATTCCAATTTAAATGAGACCCGAAAGGAACACTGGCGCACCGCTGACATAAAGCTGTCATTCCAACACTCTAGGAGGCTGAGACAGGAGAATCTCAAGTCTGACACTAACCTAGCCAATTTAACGAGTTATCGAGACCCTGTTGCAAAAGGTTAAAATAAAGGTGGGCTGGGGATTTGGCGCAATGTGAAGACCCTGGGTTCAATTCTTAGTAAAGCAACCTTGAGAATACAGTATAGTGAGGCGAGTCTTTCTTTCTCAGCCAGTTTATCAGTATTGCCCAGTGGGCTTTTATAGATCCCTGTACAGTGGCTGTTTGCCACTGTAATAATAGCTCACATTTACTGGATTTCATGCTTACGTTATTTAATCTTCACAGTACTGTGAAGTTAAGTACTAGCTGGCTAGTTTTGTAGTCGTGATAACAGACCAAGTTGAGATGCAAACCCAGGCAGCCTTAACGACTTGATTGTGCAATTATGTCGATGCAATCTCTTGATGAAACCCCAATGTAAGCCACCCGGATAAAGAGATGACAATGTAAGCGTGAATCTCCGTTATCACCTGTGTTCAGTGAGGGTGATGAGGGCTGTCTGTCCTGCAAGTCTCTTGGGTTATTGAGATGGATCCCCTTGGATTGTGAAAATGCCTTAGAATGTTTAAGTCATTCTTTCATAGAGTTCTCATTTTTTTTTTTTTTTTTTTGAAACAAGGTCTTGCTATGCAGTTCAGGCTGGCCTTGGGCTCACTTTATAGCCCAGACTGGACTTGAACTTGCAATGATCCTCCTGCCTCAGTCTCCCAAGTTCTGGGATTACAGGAGTGTGTCACCATGGCCAGTTTGGAGTTCCCATAATTTAAAGTATCTGTAATAGCTTAGATCTAAAAGGTCCCCCAAAATATCATATATAGAGAGGTGGGGCTTTGAGAAAGTGGTTGAATCACAGGGGTGCTATCCCTATCAATAGATTCATCGATTGGTGAGTTTATGGCTGAATGTGCTGCTAGGAGGTGGGAGCTGGTTGAAGGTGGGCCATTGTGGGGCATGACCTAGATAGATATATTTTTGTCCCTGGATCCTCTCTTCCCTCTTTTGTTTCTTGGCTACCATGAGTTGAGTAGCCTTCCTCTCTCCATCACACCCTTCTGCCATGCTGTTTCTACCGTGGATCCAGTGAACCATGTTCTGAGTCCCCTGAAACCAAAAGCCAAATTAAATCTCTCCTCCTTTAAATTGTGGATATTAGGTATTTCACCCAGCAATAGGAAAGCTAACATAGTATCAAGACTACTCATTTAGCCTCTATAAAATGCATTACAAGTAGTTTTCAGAAGCACAAGTTTTTAAGAAAAAAAGTGTTTTTGTTTTATACAAAATTCTATTTATATATACCTACCAATTTGGCAACATATTAGCAATAGGAAAGGGATGTCTATTAGATGTTAAAATTTTGAAGTGACCTTATAGAGAATTTATTTCAGTCTCCTCAGTCTACAGAAGGGACACAATGACTTCCCTAAAATAACAGAAAATTAGTGGCCTAGGACTAGAATTTAATTTTGTTAATCTCTGAAGGGCAAATGATACTGCTTCCTCTCTCTGGTTAGTGAAGCCAATTTGCTTCACTATTTAACTCATTCAGCTCAGATTTCTTGGCTCCCAGTGATGTATCGAGAGCACCATCCTAGGGATCAAGGATACAACTGAGAACTGCAATTGCACCTTCTTGGACTGCAAGAAATTTATAATCTATAAAGGTGACAGAGAAAAAACAATGAGGATAGTGTTTACTAAGAGCCAAACATCTGGGAAACTAAGCATTTAGGGAGGAAGATCAAGAGTTTGGGGTGGCAGGAGAAATGTCCCATAGGTGACTGCAGAGGCAGGTCTGGGGCAATATGAGTTACAATAGTACCCCAAGGGTGAGTGACATGATAGAGCAGATGAAGTCATGAAGAAGTTCAAGGGAAAGACAAGGTTGCCTCACACCAAACTCTGAGGAACCCCAACATTTAGAAGTTGGGCAGAGCACAAGCTACCGAAGGAGAATCCGAGAGCTAAGAAGGAAAATCAGGAGAATGCAGAGTTTCAAAACCCAATAGGAAAGAGTGTTCCCAAAAGCAAAAGCTGAGCTGTGCTGAATGCTACAGAGATGAGGCCACGCTGTGCTGAGAAGTGTTCCCCGGAAAAAGGAACATGAGGGTGGCCAGTGGCTTTGCCTAGAGATTCTGCACTGAAAGTGAGGAATCTATGACAGTAGGCTGCACCAGAGTGGCCAAGGCTTTGGGAATTTCAGCTCACAGGGTGGAGAAAGGTGGGCTGCACTCAGCTTTTTGTTTTTTGGTGCTGGGGATGGAACACAGGGCTTTTTGTCTGCCGGACAAGTGCTGTGCCACAGAGCTATGCCCCAGCCCAATGCGTGATTTTTATTATTATTATTTTTTTTTTTTTTTGAGACAGGGTCTTGCTCTGCAGTTCTGGCTGGTCTTGAGCTCACTTTATGGCCTAGATAAGTCTCAAACTTGCAAGGATTCTCCTGTCTCAGCCTGCTAAGTGCTGGAATTACAAGAGTGCACCACCACACCCGGCCAATATGTGATTTTTTTATGGGAGCTACTGAGCTTATTTAGGTGACAGTGGAAAGGATGAAAGGAAGAGGAGGTGAAATCCACAGGTAGGTAGGGCATAGCTAGTGGATGAGCACATGTTGAGAAGGCAGAAGTACTGCACATGAAAAGACAAGGCTCAGGGTTGGGGATTTAGCTTAGCGGTATAAGCGCCTGCCTGGCAAGCTCGAGGTTGTGAGTTCAATCCGCAGCCGGGCAGATTATTGCAGCCAGGCGTTGTTATTGCAATGGTGGCTCATGCCTGTAATCCCAGCACTCAGGAGGCTGAAGTGGGAGGATTGTTGCAAGTTCCAGACCAGCCTGGGCTACAAAGTGAGCTCAAGGCCAGCCTGAACTGCATAGGGAGACCCTGTCTAAAAAAGTCCAAAAAAAAAAAAAAAAAAGACAAGGTCACTGGGACACTTCTTTACCTCTTCCCCCCACTCCCCGCCCCCAGGACTCAGTGAGGATTGAACTCAAGGCCTTCACACTGCACTACATCCCCAGCCTTTTTACAATGTTTCTAATTTTAAGACAAGGTCTCACTAAGTCACTAAATTGCCCAGTCAGGACTGGAACGCCTGATCTTCCTGCCTCAGCCTCCCAGAGTGCTGTGATTACAGGCATGCACCACCACAACTGGCAATTTGCCTCTTCTTTGTCAGTCATTTCCTTGGCCTCTTCTCCTGGGAGTACTCTGCAAACAATTTTCTCAGGCTTCAAACTTTGACCTTCTCTTCTCACTCACCATGTCATCCCTTGGTGATTTTGCCCACTGCTGTGACTTTCCCCACTAACTGCGCCTGTCATCTCTTCCCTGTGGCCCACTGCAGGCTGAAGATCTGCCTTTGGAAGCTGAAGAACAGTGGTGTGCTTTCATTAAGTCGGGCCAGCTCAGACCGGCTCCCAAAGAACCCACTGTGCACCGCTCCTCTGAGCTCATCTGGTGAAATCACGTAACATCTGGGGAGGATCATGCCCCTGTCCCTAAGGTATTGATTGCAGTGACATGAAATCAGGCATGCAGAGGGTATTCACGTCATGACAACCTGCAAATGCTTCTGATCAGAGCACTCCCTCCATGAAGAGCATTACTGCACACCACTGTGCAGGCACTCAACATACTCTACATGAAATGAATCATTCTCCCCTCCCCTGCATTCTTCCCGGACCTGTTCTCCCCAAGTCTCTTGGCCCAGGAGCAGCACCCCTTCCACCAGGGGCATCACATATTTCTCATTCCCAGGTTCAAAATACAGCCCACTAGTTACAGTCTAAGTAAGCTGCAATAACAAACAGTTCTGAAAATTCAATGACTTAAGCAATCACTACAAAACAATTACTCCAGGGCTGCAGGGCCTTCTCTGCCACTTTCCTCCTGTTGCTCCCATTTCTGTGTCCAGCATGGTCCAGACAGTGTAAGCCATTGCATCTGCTTCCCATCTGTTTGGCATGGTGGGTGGCCCTAGTTCTTTCCTGTTCAAGACCATCATTGACTCCTGCTCAGAAGCTGGCCAGATACAAAGAAGACTGGAATATTAATAAAGAAATGAGACAAGTAATGACACTAGCATTTTACATCATTGGTGGATATGTTCTGCTACCTCTTGAATTATAGAGTGTAAATCCCTCCTTTCTACTCTATGCCAATGTTATGATTTTAGTCCCCCCCCCCACCGTCCCACCCACAATACAGGGAATTAAGTTCCAGGCCTTTGGTTTTGTTTTGTACAGGGGATCAAACTCATAATGTTGCACTTGCCGGGCAGGTACTTGTGCCACTGAGGTAAATCCCCAGCCCTGAGTCTGGGCCTTTGCACTGAGTAACATGACCAGCCCTTTTTATTTTTTATTTATTTAAAATGTTTTTTAAAATTCTTATTGGAGCCAGGTGTGGCGGCATGCCTGTCATCCCAGCAGTTAGGAAGCTGAGCCAGGAGGATTGCTGCAAGTTTGAGACCAGTCTGGGTTCTAAAGTAAGCTCAAGGCTAGTTTGAATTGCATAGTGAGACCCTATCTCAAAAAGACAAAAAAAAAAAAAATTCTTTTTGGTTTTTTGAGACGGGGTCTCACTGTGTGGTTTGAGCTCACTTTGTAGCCCAGGCCAATCTCCAACTCAAAGTGATCCACCTGCATCACTTTCCTGAGTGATAGGCCTACAGGATGCACTGCTAAACCCAGCTTTATTTTTATTTTGAGAGTGATTCTTTTTTTTTTTGAGGGTTGCCCTTACTAAATTGCAGAAGCTGAACTCAAATTTTCGATCCTCCTGCCTCAATTTCCCAGAGGGCTAGGATTACAGGCTTGTACACCACGCCCAGATAGGATGATCCTTTTCTAATTAACCTATCAAATAGCTGATAGATATTTGTTGTGGTGGTTTAAATCCAAAAATGTTCCCCTAAAAGCCACATTTGGAGGCTGGGTATGATTGGAGGGAGTGGGCCACTGAGGTGTGTGTGAACTGAAAGACTGTATTTTTTTAAATTTTGCATTGTTTGTTTCATTTTTTTTAATTAATAGGGATTGAACCCAGGGCCTTCACTGTGACCTATATCCCCAGGTCATTTAATTTTTTATTAGCAAGACCAGGTCTTGCTAAGACTTTAAATTGTGATCTTCCTGCTTCAGCCTCCCAAATGGTGGGATAATAGGCCTGTGCCATCACACCCAACTAGGAAGAGTGTATTTTTGTCCCTGGCTCCTTTCTTCGCTCTCTGCTTCCTAGTCATCACAGAAATTTGCCTAGTGGCCATGGGCTGAATCCACCGGGACTAAGAGCCAAAATAAACCTCTTCTCCTAAAATTCCAGTTGTTGAGTATTTGTCTCAACAACAGAAAAATGACTCATACATCTGTCCAAAATGCAAATGAGATCACAGAATTTTTCCTGCCCGAGATCATGCGGTAACCCTCCCATCCATTCCCTGGGAAGAGCCCAATTGACCTGCATGACACCTAGGCCAGATCTTGTCCACTCCACTCTGAGTGCCTGTGCCTTCACTCCAAGTGCACTTCCTTATCTGCCAGAAGAATTCAGGTCATTTTCTGGGCCTCAGTTTAAATATTGCCTGCCTGACTGCACTTTGAGGCTGGCTGTAGTCCTAGGCTGTATTTCTGGGCACTTGCTATGGACCCCAGGCTCTGTGTGAAACCAGGCACTCACTGGGTTCATTTCACAGAAGGTAGGATGAGACCCAGGGAAGATGCCACATCCTTCCCAAGATGGGATTGGAGGAGTCTGTGTCGCTTTAACACTCAGACATCATTGCCAGTTACTGAAGTTTAGCCCAGCTGAATGTAGGCATGGGATGTGGAAGCCTCTATATGACTTTACTGAATGAATTGTTTCATCATCCATCTTCTTGGATGGAAAGTAATCTCTGAGAGTCACCGTCAAGTCTAGGGCCCATATTATCTCCAGTGCATTTTAGGCGTCTTGTGGAATGAATCAAAGCATGACCACATCTGCCCCAGCATCAGTGCTTTCTCCACACCTCCATTCAAATCTTAACTCTGTCACACACTGACGGAGTGACCTTGGGCAAATCATCGGTCCTTTCTGTGTCTCCTGTCTCTGCAAGATTGGAGTCTTACATGGGTTGCTAGAAGGACTAAATGAACTATTATTTGTAAAGCATTGCCATTGCAATGTCTGGTACATAGTAGATGTTGTGTCTGCTAAGTAAAAAACATAGAGTTGCAGCCCTGCATGGTGATGGACACGTATAATCCCAGCACTCTAGAGACTGCAGCAGGAGGATTTCCATAAATTTGAGGCCACCCTGAAATGCACTGTGAGTTGAAGGCTAGCCTAAGTAATATAGTGAAATATATTTCAAAAAACCAAAACCAAAACAGAATAGAAAGTTCAAACCCAGCCTCAGCAATTTAGAGACTTAACATGACCCTGCCTCAAAATAACAAAGAGGCTGCCGATGTAGCTCACTGAGAAGGTTCTGGATTCAATCCCAGTACCAGAAAAAATAAATAATAAATAAATAAATGTTGCAAGGGCTGAGACTCCAGCTCAGAAGGAGAAAGTATACCTAGCAGGTGTAGGGTGCTGTTTCCTCCTCAGCCCTGCGAAAAGAAAAGAAAAACACATAGTTCCTGGCATAAACCGATTGGTAGTTAGTTACTTTTTCAGTTTCACTTCTGAAAATGAAACTAAAGGCTGGCCTCGGCCAGCAGTTCATATCCAGCCTTCTGTCTAGCCATCTAGTAGGGCCTTACTATTTCCACATAGACTGGAGATCTTCATGGCTGTAGACTTTTATTGGGCAGACAATCTTTCCTGCTTTGGTTACCTATGTGCCTCTCTCTCCTTCACTATCTAGCTCAAACTTCACTTTTAGAAATTTGAGACATGAGTCCAAGCCAGCCTTGAACTCACCATGTAGCCCAGGCTGACCTCAAATTCAAGACGCTCCTACCTCTGCCTCCCAAGTGCTGAGATTACAGACGTGAGCCACTGTGCCGAGCTTCGCTTATAGAAATCTCCCAAGATTCTCAGAGACAGGTAGCAAGTCCTCATCTGGGCCTCCATGTCACCTCATTTTCACGTGTGTAACTGGGCTCCCCACTGCACCCAAACTCCTTGTAACAGGACTATATCTTGTAAACATCAGTGTTCCAGTGCTTGCCACTCAGTAGGCATAAAAGGTGTTTGTTGGGTTGGGCATGGAAGTACATGCCTGCAGTCCCAGCACTCTGGGAGATGAGGCAAGATAATCACAAGTTTGAACCCAGCTGGGGCAACTTAGCAAAACGGTCTCAAAATAAAGGGTTAAGGATGTGGCTCAGTATGAACACCCTGGATTGAATCCCCAGTGCAGGGGGAGGGCTGTTGAACTGATGTGAGGATAAATGAAATGTCTTAGTTATATTACCTTAGCTACTTCCATAATACTTATATATGATGTTGTAGCCATGACAGGTGACAGTTTGCCACAGTTGATTAAGAGATAAACCAAGTCATGGACCTAACAAATTGTACCTTTGACTCCAAGTAATGGGGGAATTCCCTTATTACCAGGGAGACTGTGGCTTCCAATTTGTGCAATAGTAATAGTAAAATCTAAAAAAGCTTTTTTTTTTTTTTGTCTTTTGGAAACAGGGTCTCTCAACACAGTTCAGGCTGGATTGGGCTCACTTTGTAGCTGATCCTCCTCTCGAACTTGCAAATGATTGTGCTGCCTCAGCCTCCAGAGCCTGAAAACGCTCTTATGACCCAGTGTTTGGGGAATAGTCCTATGTGCCCAGCTCTCAGCTTGGCACTTCACTCTGGCATCTGATTGAGACATCAGTGCCAGTTTTCCTATAGATGGGAACAACAAAGTTTGGACAAGAACAAAGAGGTGTTATAAAACCAGTCATATCTCAACCTGCGGATAAGAGATGTGGGCTCTGAGCCCAGCGGTTGTGTGACTCATGCCCCTACCTTTATCTGAGGAAACCCTTGTAAAACTTGGGGCTTTGATCCATGAGCAGTAGGGTTTCTAGTCTAACTGGGCAAGTTTCTAGGGTAGTGGGAATTGATGAGGGGACTTCATAGGAAGAGAAGTCAACAACAGGAGAGATGCAGGCCACAGGGAAGATCATTTCCTCCTCCAGCATACCTTTGCTCCTGGCCTCAGCACTGTGAAGGATGAAAAAGTGCAAGTTCCAAAAGATTAAGGAGCTCATCTGAGCCTCAATTTTTAGAGGTTAATGACCTCCAGAGGGTCACCCAGGAAAATCTGAGGCGCCCAGCTCCTCAATTGCCTCAGTCAGTCACTGGTATCTGGAGTCTTCCAGTCTGTGGAGACTGGGCATGGGAAATGCCACTGTCACTAGCAGAAAATCAATGGGCCAACTCACCCCATGTCCTTTGGCTGGAAAAGGTTTGGTCTCTGGGCATCTGGTGAGCAGAGGACCTTCAGGGTCATGTAGCTGACACTTAGTGCCTCTTCCTGTGCCATCTCTGGCCTCAATGCTCCCTCCACCTCAAAAGTTAGGTGGGCATGCTCCCGATCCACACATGTATTTACAGGTGCGTATGTCTACGCTTGCACGCATACACTAATACACATAAACACATACACACGGGTACATACGCACATACAACATGCTCACAAAGCATCTCTCCACTAACCCAGACTGTCAAGAGCTGATCCTGCACCTTTGTCATCAAAAGCACTGCACAGGCAGTGTTTGGTGGCACACATCTGCAATTCTAGCTGGCTGGGAGGCTGAGACAAGAGGACTGCAAATTCTAGGCGATTTTGACCAACTTACTTGCTTAGTAAGACCAAGTCTCAAAAATAAAAAGTTTGGGTTGGGCATGATGGTTGCACACCTGTAGGCCCAGCACTTGGGAGACCGAGGCAGGACGATCACTGCAAGTTTGAGGCCAACTTGGACTACATAGTGAGTTCAAGGCCAGCTTGGATTATACAGTGAGACCCTGTCTCTTAAAATAAATAAAATAAAAATTTTAGAAAGAGTTGAGAGTGTAACTCAGTAATAGAGCATTTACGTAGCATGTATTACAAGACTGAGGTCTCACCCACAGTACTGCATAACAAAACAAAAACGAAAACAAGAAACTACCACACTGGTGGTGGCAGGAGCCCAGAGGAACCTAAGAGATGATGAAGAAAGGCACTTCTTCAGCAATGCCTTTTTGTTTTGTTTCTGGTACTAGGAACTGAACCCAGGACCTTTGCACAGAGGTACATCCCCAATGCGTTTGTAACCTTTTAGTTTGAGACAAGATCACTCTAAGTCTCCTGGAATCTAATTTGTGATCCTCTTGCCTCAGTCTTCCAAAGTGCTGAGATTACAAGTGTGTGCTACCACACTGGGTTTCTTGAAGAGATCAGATAGATAGAGCGATAGCACAGGATATTTAAAACTAGTTAGCTGATCCCAGCACTTGAGAGGCTGAAGCAGAAGAATCGCCGTGAATTCGAGGCCAGCCTGGGCTACATAAGCAAGCTCAGGGCCAGCCTTGAACTACAGCAGACCCTGTCTCAAAACAAAACAAAACAAAACTGGTTAGCTCAGTGCCTGTACGTGAGGCGAACAGGCTGTGTGTGTGCATATATATAAAATGCTGAGACACTGGGGGTGGGGGGGGCGTGGAAGAAAAGAGGGCCATCAAAAGGACCAAAGTAGAAGGATCAGGGAAAAACGGAGACACATCCCCTCCAGACCCTTCCTCTTCTTTTCTTCCCATCTCTGTCTTTTTTTTGTCTTTTTCCTTTTTATCGGTACCAGGGATCGAACTCACGACTGCCTGCTTACAAGGCAGGCGCTTATGCCGCTGAGCTAAATCCCCAGCCCCCCCATCTCTGTCTTGGTGATTTTATTCAGGTCTGACTGTGGTAGAACATAGCTCAGGGGTTTATGGACGACTGGTCACACCGCTGCAAGCCTGTAGTTCCAGCACTCTGGGAGGGTGAGGAAGCAGAATCAAAAATTCGAGCCCAATTTAGGCAAATTAGTGACTTAGTCAGATTTTATCTTAAAGGAGCTGAGAGTGCAGCTCAGTATGAAGGCCCTGGGTTTGATCCCCAATACTGGGGGGGGGGGGGAGTGAATGGGGAACCCATTAGTCGATCTGCGAAGTCCTGGACTCCGGATATTCTTCTCGGTCTCGGTGTTTTTGCTGCTCTACTCTCCACCGCCCACCCCTAGCGCCAGTGTCTGTATTCTCCGTGTGCCCTCTTCGCGGCTCAACGTGGAGAAGGAGTCTGCCTCTTTAAAGCTGCGGTCCCCGGCCGGGTTATTGTCTCGCCTGGCAGCCAATCGGGGGCGCCGTTGGGGGCGGAGGATCCGGCATTCCGATTGGCCTGTGTGTGCCCCGCCCCGCCCGGGATCCCGGGAGCTGTCCGGACGCCTCGGTGCTGATCCCGTCGCCGCCCACGGGCCGCGAGCAGCGTCGAGAGGGCACTATGAGCGGGGGCGTCTACGGCGGAGGTGAGGCAGCTCGGGCTTCGCGCTCCTGGCCCCCGCGGCCTCCCTCGCGCCCAGAGCCCTGAACCTGCGCAGCCCGAGCGGGGCACCCTGGGGCCTGTCCCCGCGGCACTTGAGCGGGTCTGCCCCAGATTTGGGTTACGCGTCACCTCTGCCTTCGGGCTTCACCGATGCCCCGCACGTCCACCATCCAGCCCCCCGCTGTCCCCCACCGCCCCCCCCCTTCCTGCCTGCCAGGAGTGTGCCCTGAACAAGGCCACGGGTCAGCAGGGGACTCTGGCGGCCAGACCCTTTACTCCGGGGATCCAGAACTCCAGGCCGGGCACCCACCTGGCCTGGTCACTGTGGGAGGTGGAGAGTCTGTAGCTGTGCCCCAGATTCCCTGGAATCCAGGGGATACTCACCTGTCTCCCTGCACAGATGAAGTGGGGGCGCTGGTCTTTGACATCGGCTCCTTCTCGGTCCGCGCTGGGTACGCTGGGGAGGACTGTCCCAAGGTGAGCCTTCAGACCCTCCTCCAAATTGTAGGGGCGCTAGCTTCCCCACCAGCCTCACCGTAATCCCGGGCTCTCAGCTCAGCCCCAAAGCTCTGCTGGGGGGACTGTGGGGTAAACCCAGTGGGCAGGCACAGAGCCCAGCGCGGGACTGGAACGACAGGACGGGAGCCAGGTGATCTCGCTCCCTGCCCATCCTTTCTATCCCCAGGCAGACTTCCCCACCACAGTGGGGCTGCTGGCCGCGGAGGAGGGAAGCGGGCTGGAGCTGGAGGGGGAGAAGGAGAAGAAAGGGAAGATCTTCCACATTGACACCAACGCCCTGCACGTGCCCCGGGACGGAGCAGAGGTCATGTCACCCCTCAAGAATGGCATGAGTAAGCCCCTTCCCTGCTCCTGGCGGCGTCCCTGAGCCCACCCCTCACCACTAGCTACACAGACCCCCACATACGCTTAGGCCGTCTTGCAAGCCAAGTCCCAGGAACCTCCTGACGGCTGCCCACAGCTGCGGGGTTCCCCACACTGAGTTCACCACATTGCGGGAAGTGAGGGGGCCTTTCTGATGGAGCTGGACTCACCCTCCCCTGGGCTCTGTTCCTTACTGTCTCTGATCTCTGCCCGCTCACTTCCTTTCTCCACGCTGGTCTGCTCCCCCCAGTTGAGGACTGGGAGTGCTTCCGAGCCATCCTGGACCACACCTACAGCAAACACGTCAAGTCTGAGCCGAACCTGCACCCGGTGCTCATGTCTGAGGCCCCGGTGAGTGCCTCTCCCGATCCATCCAGTCCGGGCCCCCACCCAGTCCTTTCCACCTGTCAGGCGTCTAACCTCCCTTTTCAGATTTTTTTCTTCCAGCCCTTCACCTTCAACCACTTTCCTTTTTCCTGGGTTACTTTCCATCCCTCCTTCTCTCCTCCAGCTCCATTTGCTCCAATGCCATTTAACCCCAGTTTTTATTTTTTAAACTGAGAACTAAAACCAGGACTTTTGCACTGATCTTTATCTGCAGCCCATTTTTACATTTTGAGACAGATTGATTCTTGTTAAATTTCCCAGGCTGGACTCTTAAATTGCTATCTTTCTGCCTCAACCTCTCAGAATGCTGGGATTACCAGTGTGGGCCAGCATGCCTGGCTTCCCATCCTTTTTTGACTTTATAACTTCAGCTTTTTAGCCAACATTTTATGTTCACATAAAGAATCAGTTTGCTGTACAAAGTTCGTGAAGATAAAATCTTGGCAGCTCTTATCTTCTTCCTTCCATTTTCCTTCTCTAAAGTCAGCAGCTTTTCTCCTTTTTAGCTAAGAGTTTGTGTATTTTTCTTCCAAAAGTCTGGATATCACAGATCCCTGTGTGGATTTTTAAAATTGTAGGCATTAATCTGTGAACTCTGTTCTATAGAAATAAACTCCATCAGACAACAGGACACATATTTCTCATTGCCCACCTTTAAGTACAGTTGCAAATTAGATTTTTAAAAAGATCAACACTCTATCTACCTTTTTATTACTATAGATACTAATAAGAGCAGAACTAGGTCAATAAGCTATGGCTACTTTTTATCTCCTGTGCAACTTTTGTGTTCCTTGAATCTGAAAATCAGTTGTTTTTTGTTTTGCTTAGTTTTCTACCTGATTAGTAGCATGACCCTGTTATTTATTGTTATCTTTTTTTGGTACCAGGGATTGAACTCACAACCTTGTGCTCACCAGGCAGGCACTTATGCCGCTGAACTAAATCCTCAGTTCCCTTTATCAGTTATCTCTATATTTTCTCAAGACATTAATTAGTTAAGCTGTTCTATTGATTCTATCTTTTTGAAGCAATCTCTCCAGGAGCCCCTTGACCTGTTTCACTTTGGACTAGTAACCCTGTACACCAGGGACACCTCTTCCACCCTGACAACTCCCCTCACTACCATCTTGGATAATACTTGCCCCCTCCTCTATCAGAAAAGGCATTTTAGGGCCTCCACTACCTCTGTGTTGGAAGTCTATTTCTTTTACTTCATTCCTTTTCTTTTCTTTTTGTCTTTTTCCTTTTTATTGGTACCAGGGATCGAACTCACGACTGCCTGCTTGCAAGGCAGGCGCTTATGCTGCTGAGCTAAATCCCCAGCCCCATTTCATTCCTTTTCTTGATTTACTTCTTTATTTTTGTGGACCACATTCTCTGAGAACTGCCGTAGGAAAGTCAGAACTAGGTGTGGTGGTCTATGTCTGTATCCCAGCATTTGGGAGGCTGAGGCAGGAGGCTCACCATGAGTTCAAAGAGAGAAACTACAGAGAGAAACTTGGTCTCAAAACAAGCAAACAAAAAAGTCATAGGAATCTAGCTAAGGTAGTACATGCCTGTGATTCCAGCGACTCAGAAGGCTGAGGCAAAAAGGTTTGCAGTTCAAGCCCAGCCTGGACAACTATTAAAACCTTGTCTTAAAAACAAGACAAAGGGGTTGGGGGTTTAGCTCAGTGGCATAAGCGCCTGCCTTGCAAGCAGGCAGGCATGAGTTCAATCCCTGGTACTGATAAAAACAAAAAAACAAAAAAACAAAAAAAAAACACATAATAGCACAAAATTTAAAGATCATAAGAGGTAATTTTTTTGAGATTTTGCATGCCTGACCTTGGATTGATAGCTTAGCTCAATAGTTGGGTTTTTTCTTTTTTTTCTTTTTCTTTCTTTTTTTTTTTTGTACCTTAGCAGGTACTGAACCAAGGGTCTTTGTACTGAGTTATACACTAGCCCTTAAAAAAACTTTTTAAAGTTTTTTAAACTGGGGATTTAGCTCAGCAGCATAAGTGCCTGCCTTGCAAGCGCATGGTCATGAGTTCAATCCCCAGTGCTGATAAAAAAAATTGTAAAAAATTTTGAGACAAGATTGCTAAGTTATCCAGGCTGAGTTTACACTTGCAGTCTTCCTGCCTCAGCCTCCCAGAGTGCTGTGATTATAGGCGTGCACCACCATATCTGGTTTAGAAATCATTTTTCTTCAGGATCTTAAAGGTACTTCTCCATTGTTTTCACTATCTGTTGTTGCCATTGAGAAGGCTGAAATTTTATTTTATTTAATTAATTAATTAATTAATTAATTTTTTGTCAGTACCAGGGATCCATCTCATGACCCTGCACTTGCAAGGCAGGCACTTATGCCCCTGAGCTAAATCCCCAGCCCAAAATTTTATTTTATTTTTTCCCCTCCCCCCCAAATTTTATTTTTTTAAATTAAGTTTATTGGGGGGCTGGGGATTTAGCTCAGTGGCATAAGCACCTGCCTTGCAAGCAGGCGGTCGTGAGTTCCATGGATACTGATAAAAAAAAATTAAATGTTTGGTATAATGTAGATACACATAATGATCACATTCATCATAGGGAATTTGTACCTATACATGATATATCTTGACTTCTCTTTTTTCCCCATTCCTCTCCTCTCCCTTCAACCCCTCTTCCCCTCCTTGTTTATAAATCTGTTTCCATTATCTTTCTTTTCTCATTTTTTTTCTTTTTTCTTTCTTCCTTTACTCCTCCTCCTCCCTAGTTCCCCTTTCCTTTTGGACAGCTTCTTCCTATTTCACAATATCCATTATATATTTTGGCCTTTATTTACACTTTAAGTTTCTCACACCAGAGAGGCAATGGAATATTTATGCATGTGTCCAATTTATTTCACTTAGGAGCATGATCTCAAGGTACATTCATTTGGTGACAAATGTCTGCAGCTTATTCTTCTTTATGGCAGAGCAGTACACCATTGTATTAAAAAATGTATCTTTTTTATTCATTCATTGGTTGATGGGTATTTGAACTGTTTCCATGATTTAGCTAATACAAACTGTACTTCTATGAACATGGGTGTACATACGTCGCTGTGGTATGATTCTTTTATTTCTTTCAGGAAGATACCAAAAAGGGGAATACCTGGGTCAAATTCCCCGGCTTTTTGAGGAATCTCCACGCTGATTTCCGCAGTGGCAGCACCAGTCTGCACTCCCATTAACAGTGGAGAAGGGCTCCTTTCCCCCACAGGCCCACCAGCATTTATTATTAGTTGATTTCTTGATGATAGCCATTCTTTCTGGGGTGAGATGCAATCTCAGTATTGTTTTAATTTGCATCTCTTGAATGTCCAGTGGTGTTGAACATTTTTTCATATATTTATTTGATGTTTGTATTTTTTCATCTGAGAAGTATCTCAGGTGCCCATTTTCATACTGCATCTTTAAATTGAGGTGTCTGCGTATTAGTCTGAGGAACAACAGGCTACAATATTTCCTACTCTGGGTGTTCCCTTTTTACTGTGTTGATGATTTCTTTTGATGTGCAAAAGCTTTTTAATAAAGTGAGATCCCAGTTGTCCCAAATACTTTGTATTTCTTGTGTGATCAGGGTTTTGTTCATGAAGTCTTTGCCTAGACTTATGTCTTCAAGAATTCTACCTATTTTCTACTCCAACAGAGTTAGTGTTTCTGTTTTAATACTTAGATCTTTGATCCATTTTGACTGTCATTGAGTGCATGGTGATAAGCACTGGTCTAGTTTTAGTCTTGGTCATGTGGAAAGCCAGTTGTCCCAGCATCACTTATTAAAGAGGCTATCTTTCTTCCAGTGAACTTGTTTGGCCCCTTTGTCAAAGATAAAGTGGCTAAACATGTTTGGAGTTGTTTCTGCATCTTATAATCTGTACCATTGATCTTTCAGTCTGTATTTTTGCCAGTACCGTGCTGTTTTCATCACAGTAGCTCTGCAATATAATTTCAAATCAGGGATTGTGATAGTCTCTGATTTCAAATCAGGGATTGCCTTGCCTTTGTTGCTTAGAATTGTTTTTTCTATTTTAAGTCTCTTCGGTTTTCAAATGAATTTTAGAAATGTTTTCTCTAGTTCTGTGAAGTATACTAATGAAATTTTAACTGGAATTGCTTTTAATCTGTATAGCAATTTTGGGAATAAGGCCATTTTCACTATGTTAGTTTTTCCTACCCAAAAACAAGGAATATTTTTTCCATTTCCTGATATCCTCTTTGATCTCCTTTTTCAGAGGATTGTAGTTTTTAACAGGGATGGAACTCATGTCCTCATGCTTACCAACCAGGTACTTACACTGCAAAGCTAAACTCCTGGCCCAGTATTGTAGTTTTATTTTCTTTCTTTCTTTTTTTTAAAATCAGTACCAGGGATCAAAATCACGACCACACACTCTCAAGGCAAGTACTTATGCTGCTGAGCCAAATCCCCAGCCCCTAGTATTGTAGTTTTCTTTTCTTTTTTTTTTTTTTTTTTTTGTCTTTTTCTTTTTTATCAGTACTGGGGATTGATCTCCATGACCACACACTTGCAAGGCAGGCGCTTATGCCGCTGAGCTAAATCCCCAGCCCCTAGTATTGTATTTTCAATGTTGAGATCTTTTAGTTCCTTTGTTAGATTTATCCCTAAGTATTTTATTTTTTTAGGATGCAACTATCAAAGGTGTTTCCCATATTTTTCCTCTCAGTGAGTTTGCTATTTGTGTACAGGAATGCTACTGATTTTTTTGGTGGGGGGTGCCAGGAATCAAACTCAGGACCTTGTACTTACCAGGCAGGTGCTGTGCCACTGAGCTATATCCTCAGCATGCTATTGATTTTGAGCACTGGCTTTGTATCCTCTGGCTCTTGATCCTCTGATGTGATATTTTTCTTTCTGATAGTTTATAAAATTTTCAATTTATCCTAGAGATTTTAAAATTTCACCATGAAAAAAAAAAAAAGAAAAAGAAAAAAATAAAATTTCACCATGATAGGTGGTGATATTGGTATACTACCATTTATGGCTCTAGACACTTAATATCTATGTTCCTTTAATCTGGAAATCTCTGTCTTTCAATGCAGTGAAAATTAAAAAAAAATTTTTTTTTTTTTTGTTGTTGTTGTTTGAGACAGGATCTTGCTATGTAATTCATCCAGGATTTGAACTTACTTTGTAGACCAGCCTGGGCTTGAACTCACAGCCATATTCCTGTCTCAGTCTTCTGAGTGCCGGGATGACCAGGCATGTGCCACTATGGCCAGCAAAAATTTAGAATTTATTTTATCATTTATTTTCTCAATTTCCTCTGTTCTTTCTTTCGAGAAATTCTGTTATTTGAATTTTGCATCTCCTGAGCTCGTCCCTAACATTTTAGGGTTTTTTAAAAAATTTCCATTTTCTGTCTCTATCTTCTCCCTCTAATTTCCAAGATGTTCCTTCAACTTCATATTCCAACCTTTCTACTGAATTTCTCATTTTTCCTTCTGTCTGCTTAATTTCCACAAGTTCTTTGCTGTTCTTGTGCTTTGACTAGTCCTTTCTGAAATCCTACTCTTGTTTCTTGGATACAGTGCCATCTATTCCTTTACTAAGGATATTACTAGTTTTGTTTTTCTGTTGAAATCTCTCTGTAAATTCTGTTTTTCCTAGATTTTTTGTTCTTCTGCCATATTTTGAGCATCTCTGTCTCTTTTTAGAGTATTTTCTTAGTTGTCTGCAACTCTTGGGGGCCTGCTTTTGCTGCAGAATGGGACCCTAAAACTCTGACTGTCAGTTGTGTGAGGGAGGAGACTTCCCGACCTTTGCAGTGAGATGACTGAGTAGGATGCTTTGGGGCATTTTTTTTTTTTTTTTTTTTTGGACTGGGGATTGAACTCACAGTCTCGTGCTTGCTAGGCAGGCACTTGTACAACTGAGCTAAACCTTAGTCATCCCAGGCCTTTTTAAATTTTTAAAACAGAATCTCAATAAATTGTCATGTTGTCCAGGCTGGGCTCAAATTTGCAATCTTCCTGCTTCAGCCTCCCGGGGTACTGGGATTACAGACATGTCCCACCGCTCCCAGTTTATATTAATCTTTTGAATTTAACAATTTAGGCTGGGATGTAGCTCAATGGTAGAGCGCTTACCTAGATGTGTGAGGCCTTGAATTCAATCCCCAGTATTGCATACAAAAAAAGAAAAAGCAAAAAAGAAAGAAAACCAGTGAGCGACTCAGTGGAATTCATGATGTTCTACTATCAAGATGAGCATTCAAAACATTTCCACCTTCTCAAAGGAAAACCCATTTTCTGTTGAAGTTATTCTCTACTCCCCGTGCTTTTGTCAACCATTGATTTGCTTTTTGACTCTAAGGATAGATCTGTTTTGAATCTTTCATATAAATAAGATCATACATTGTGTGAGTTTTTGAATGTGTGTATGTGTGTGTGTGTGTGTGTGTGTGTGTGTGTGTGTGTGTGTGTGTATTGGAGCTCATTACATTGCTAAATTACCCAGGCTGGGATCAAACTGGTGATTCTCCTGCCTCAGCCTCCCAGAGTATTGGGATTACAGGTGTATGTTTACTTTTGTGAGGAATCAACATCTGTTTTCTGCAGTGGTTGGACCATTTTGCTTTCCCACAGCAGTGTGAGTTCCATTGCTCCGCATTCTTGTCAACATTTATTGTTGTATGTTTTAATTATGCTCAGCACTCCAGTGGGGGTGAACTGATACCTCATTTTGCCTTTGGTTTGCATTTCTCTAGTGGCTACCAATGTTTGGTTTTCATTTCCCCGATGGTGCATCTTCTGTTCTTGCTGGCTTTTGTGGGTCTATATCTTTTTAAATTGCCTATTTATTATAGTTTTGCTGGGATTTGGGGGAGGGAATAAAATTAAATATTTGTATTCAGTCTACCAGTATTATCCAGAAATCCTCTTCCCCAGCCCTTTTTTTTTTTTTTTTTTTTTTTGCCTTTGAGATGATTAGAGTGGAGAAGAGGGAGGAACAGGGTTCTCGGAGGAGCCTGGGGCATGTACTGTACAGTAAAGAGCACTAAACCAGGCATTAAGGGCTGTGACTCCAGACGGTTCTGTCAAGAGCTGTCTGTGTGACTTGGGGCAAGTCACTGCTCCTCTTTGAATTTTGTTTCCTCAACTATGTTTTGCGTCTGAGCTTTAAACTTCTTTATATTTCTCACATTATAAAACTGTGGCCAGCTGTGGTAGTGCATGCCTATAATCCCAGCATTAAGGAAGCTGAAATGGGGGGATCCCTGCAAGTTCAAGGCCAGCCTGGGCTGCAAAGCAAGTTCAAGGTCAGCCTGAACTGCATAGTGAGACCCTGTCTCAAAATGATAAAAAAAAAAAAAGGTCTATGTAGGCCAAGAGGTCTCACCTATTCTTTCTTGGTTACTTTTTTTGTGGTTGCTGAAACAAAACACTTAACTCCCAAAATTAGGGAAGGAAAGGTTTACTTAGCTTACAGTTTTTGGAGGTTTCATTGTCTAGGCAGCTGGCTCCAAGGCAGGGTGGCATGGCCCCAGGGGCCATACTTCAAGGCAGCAGCTAGCAGAAGCAGGCAGAGCAAAAGGTGGGAGCAGAGCAAGCCTTTTATTTCTCCCTTATATTGTACACAGGCCATCCCCCCCTCCCCCAGGGCTGGTGTAGCACTCACAAAATCTCCTTGCCCTCTTCCTGCACAGGGCAAGAATATTTACAAAGAACCTTAGCTTCCTGCTGAGTCTCTTAGTTAAACTCCTAAACTTCTCAAGTTGGCACAGTGTATCTACCATAACAAAGGGAGTTCAAGGTCAGCCTGAACTGCATAGTGAAAAGATGAAAAGAAAAAAGGTCTAGGTGGGTCAAGAGGCCGCACCTCTTCCTCCAGTAAAAGCTGTATCTGTCTGTATGTGTATACCTATATGTGTGTATCATGAGTATGTGCATTTTTGCATGTATATATGAGTGTACCTGTGTGTGTATATTTGTGTGTGTGTGTGTGTGTGTGTGTGTGTGTGTGTGTGTGTGCGTGTAAGCACGAGGCCACAAGGCTGTCTTAACCCTAGCTCCCCACTCCTGGCTTCTCTCTGCAGTGGAACACACGGGCCAAACGGGAGAAGCTGACAGAGCTGATGTTCGAACAATACAACATCCCCGCCTTCTTCTTATGCAAGACTGCCGTGCTCACTGCGTATCCTTTGCACTAAGCTGCTCAGCCTGGGGCGGGGGGGGGGGGGGGGGGGGAACACACACGCTGGGGAGTGTGCATGGGATGCTGAGGGGGAGGGCCGGGCCTGGTTCTCTGGAGGTCCCAGGTGGAAGGATGCCTCTGTTACCCTCAAGGTGCAGGAGGCCCTGGCCTTAGTGATTGGCTCCTTTCAGGCCAGGATAGTCCACTTTCCCGATCTGCTTTGGATCCAGTATGCTTTGCCTTGAACCCTGTGCTAGGCACCAGGTTGATGGAGACCCTAACTTGGAGTCTACCAGATACAAAACCAGGAATAAAGAGGGTCCTGGAGCTCAGCAGGGACTGGGAAAAATTGACTGAGGCCCCAGGAGCCCATCTCCAAAAGATGGGTCATAAACCAAAAGGAGACTTGCAGATGGGGATTAGGGTGGCCTGGGCCCTGGGAGAACAGAGTGGACCCTAGCCTGTCCCACTCCCCTCCCTGGCTGCTGTTGTCTCTTTGACCCAGCCCCTGCCAGCTTTGCAAATGGACGCTCCACAGGCCTCGTGCTGGACAGTGGGGCTACCCACACCACGGCCATCCCAGTGCATGATGGCTATGTCCTCCAGCAAGGTGGTACCTGGGCAGGGGTCGGGGCTGCCCAGAGAAGACCAAGCCTTAATACTGCTTCCCTTTCCAGGCATCGTCAAGTCACCCCTGGCTGGGGACTTCATCTCTATGCAGTGCCGGGAGCTTTTCCAGGAAATGGCTATTGATATCATCCCCCCTTACATGATCGCTGCCAAGGTGGGAAGCCCAGAGCTACCACCATAGAATCCCGGGCACTCACCCTATACCTGTTGGCTCATTGACCCATGAGACAGCAGAGCAGAGAGCAGCAGGGCCCCCAGAAGACTGAGGACCCAGTTCTTTATTTTAAAACCAAAGCATCAGAGATCCAGATAGCTGGCAGGAGGATGTGCAAGGCCCCATGTGGTGGCTTCTGGTGGCTTCCAATAGGCCCAAGTTGCCACCCAACAGCTGTGCAACCCAGTGTATGATACTGGAACCTCTCCTATAAAGTAGAGCAGCAATACAGAGTGATACTGCATCCAAAAGGCCACCCCAAATGCCTCCAGGGAATGTGACCCAGCAAAAGGCCTGTCCCACATGTGCTTGGCAGTCTCTGACAGGGGTCTTTCTTTTTCTTTTCTTTCACTGTACCGGGGATTGAACTCACGACCTCACACTTGCCAGGCAGGTGCTTATGCTACTGAGCTAAATCCCCAGCCCCCAACAGGAGCCTTTCAATCACCCATACACTGGTGTGCTCAGTGCACATGCAGACAGGCCCACCTTGTGTTCTCTGCTCTGTTCAGGGAAGGGTAGGAAGGAAGCCCCTCTTCTAAGCAGCAAAGCAGAGCCCACGCCCACCCCCAAGCAAGTGCTAGATGCAGGTGCAGCCAGGTAGCCTGGGAAGGCCCAGCTGGGAAGCATGCTCAGAGGCCCTGCCTCCACAGGAGCCTGTACGGGAAGGAGCACCCCCAAACTGGAAGAAGAAGGAGAAGCTACCTCAAGTCTCCAAGTCCTGGCATAACTACATGTGCAATGTGAGGCACTCAAGAGGGTCCCCTAAAGCAGCTCCCTCCCTGGCTCGTGGTCCCTTGCTGAGTTGGAAGTGGATTTCCTGCAGTAGGGGCAAACTAGGATGGGGTGCTCTGGAAGGACCCAGGCCCTCACCCCTCCCTGGTTCTCAGGAGGTGATCCAGGACTTCCAGGCCTCGGTGCTACAGGTCTCGGACTCCCCCTATGATGAGCAGTGAGTGGAACCCCCAGTGCTGGGGGGTGGGCAGCAGAACTGGGGGCTGTGGGACCTTTGGTGCTGCCTATCTAGTAGTCCTCCGTGAGCGCCCTGGGCAGAGTCTTGCTGCTTCCTGGGCAGGGTGGCTGCGCAAATGCCCACAGTGCACTACGAGATGCCCAACGGCTACAACACAGACTATGGTGCCGAGAGACTCCGAATCCCTGAGGGCCTATTCGATCCCTCCAACGTCAAGGTCTGGCTGCCTGGTAATCGGGGTAGGGTGGCTGTACCCCTGAATCTTGGGGTGTGGGAGAGGCTGGGAAGGATTACAAGGATCTGAGGAAAGGGCCCAGAGGGCCCGAAGCCCAGGTCACTTCTGTCCACAGGGCCTGTCAGGGAATACTATGCTAGGCGTGGGCCACGTGGTTACCACCAGCATCGGCATGTGTGACATCGATATTCGGCCGGTGAGGCTTGGCCTTAAGGGGCCCAGGAATTGTGGGGAGGCAAGGAGGGCTGTGCGTTGCAGGCTCACTTCTCTTCCTTGTTCTCAGGGCTTATACGGCAGTGTCATTGTGACCGGTGGGAACACACTGCTGCAAGGCTTCACGGACAGGCTCAACCGAGAGCTTTCCCAGAAGACCCCTCCGGTAGGAGCCCAGCCCTCGCTCAGGGCCCCCAGGCTCAGCCCTTCAGGACTAAGCATGGAGCACTCAGACCTCCTGCCTTGTGGCTCCCTCTGCCTCCCAAGCCCTGCCCCTTCGAGAACCTAAATGTCTGCTTCTCCCAGCAACTTTCTCCTCGCAGAGCATGCGGCTGAAGCTCATTGCCAGCAACAGCACCATGGAGCGCAAGTTCAGCCCCTGGATAGGGGGCTCCATCTTGGCATCATTGGTGAGAGGGAAGGGTCTGATCTAATGAGAATGTGGGGCAGGGGATTCAGACAGCTACCACCGCCTTGGCCACACATCCATTCACTCAACATTTATTTCTAAGATAGGGCAGCCTGTGACTATTCTCAGAAGGCTGAGTGCTACCAGACCCAGATTAAGGAGCAGAGGGAGAGGAAGCTGGTCATAAGGAGGCTGTGATGAGACACCCACTGGCCTCACTGAGCAGAGGGGACACCCTGGAGGCAGGGTGAGGGCGGGATGTGCTACTGACAGGCAGGTCTGCAGACTGTCAAGAACTTGTGTTGTAATTGGAGCGGGGCTGGGACAGAGGAGCCTGTGCAGGGAGGCTCTTGGAATCACTGAGAGGGTAGCAGCACGTGTATGTGAAGAAGGACAGGCACCTGGAAGAAGAGGCAGGAGGGTTGGTTCCAGGGCATGAGACAGTGAGTTCAGTCTGGTCCAGCTGTGGGAACAGAAGCCAAAGAGCTGGAGGTTTCTCACTGATCCCACTCAGAAGGAACAGCAGGAACATGTCGGGACAGGGACATCCACTACAAGAAAGTCCCAAGGAGATAGGAAGGAGGGTACAAACGCAGAGACTGACAGTGTGAACTTAGTTCTGGGTCAGACTGTGTTGGCCACACAGTTATTAAGGGCTTTCTCTGTGGTAGAAGTAGACAGACAGCCTGACGCAGTGCCTGCCTTTATGACATTCAAAAGTTGAGATAAGTAAACAGAAAGTCCCCCAGGCAGTCTTCAGGGAGCATCTGATGCATTTCAGGTGGTTTTTGTTTTGTTTTATTTGTTTTTGGTACAAGGGACTAAACCCAGAGGCTTCACACAGAGTTACCTCCCTAGCCCTTTTCATGTTCTATTTTAAGACAGTGTCTCATTAATTTGCCCAACTTGGGCTGGAACATCCAATCCTTCTGTCTCAGCTTCCCAGAGTGCTGGGATTGCAGATGTGTGCACACCGCACTTATTCATTTTGAGGGTCTAAAACTGACATGGGAAGAGGAAGATCTTGGGGTAAAGAGGAAAAGAGGGTTCTCAGACTATGGGGAGAGTAAGACAAGGCTCCAAAACAGATGCAGGGGCTGGGGATTTAGCTCAGCGGCATAAGCGCCTGCCTTGCAAGCAGGCAGTCGTGAGTTCGATCCCTGGTACCGATAAAAACGAAAAAGACAAAAAAAGAAAAAATCATATACCAAAACAGATGCAGTCAGATCTGGGTTTTAGGAAGCCCACGTGGACTGCAGGGTAGTGAGTGAAAGGAAGGGAACAGACAGAAGGCAGGGACAGGGCCACTGGGTGTGGCAGGGGCATGGGCATCAGCATTGGCCTAATTTTAAATTTTCGCATAGCCATAATTAAAGAAGTATGAGGCAAGTGCAATAAATTCTTAATTCTTAAGAACATGCATACCATTAGCCACGGTGCCGACAGCTGTAGTTCCAGCACTTGGAGGGGCTGAACCACAAGGATCACGACAAGTTCAAGGCCACCTTGGGTTACACAGTGAGTTCAAGACCAGCTTGAACTACACATCAAGAACTTATCTCAAAAAAAAAAAAAAAAAAAAAAGAACATACTTTATAGCTAGGTTTGGTGATGCTTAACTGTAACCCCAGAGCTTGTGAGGCTGAGGTAGGAGGATTACAAGCTTGAGGCCAGCCTGGACTATGTAATGAGTTCAGGATAAGCTGGAGGCCAGCTGTGGTAGCACAGGCCTGTAGTCTTAGCCTCAGGAGCTGAGGAAGGAGGATCACTGTGAGCTTGAAGCTAGTGTAGAGTATATAATGGGTTCAAAGCCAGCCTGAACTACATAGCAATATCATGTCTTTAAAAAAAAAAAAAAAAAGACAAGCCTGGACTATGCAGCAAGACTGTCTCAAAAACAAAAAAGAACAATGTATTTTATTTAATTCAATATTCCAAAATATTTCCATCTCAATGTGTAGTCAGTATAGAAACTTTTTAATTGCTTTTTCTTTTTTTTTTTGAGATAGGATCTCGTTTTGTAGTCCAGTCAGGTCTTGAATTCACTGTGTAGCCAAGGGTAGCCTCAGGCTCCTAAGTGCTGGGATTACAGGTATACATCCCAACACCTGGCTAGAAAACTCACAGTGAGATATTTTACATTCTTTTTCTACACATCCATAGTCTTTTTCTACACATACTCAGCATATATTTTCTACATCAAGCACATCTCCATATGGACTGTCCACATTTCAAGTACTCAATGGGTGAATGAGGCCGGCAGCCACCGAGTTCTTTTTTTTTTGAGACAGGGTCTCACTATGCAGTTCAGGCTGGCCTTAAGCTCACTTTGTAGCCCAGGCTGGTCTCGGACTCACAACTATCCTCCTGCCTCAGCCTCCCCGAGTGCTGGGATTACAGGCATGAGCCACCATGCCTGGCTTAGCCACTGAGTTCTGTAGCACAGGCTTAGAGGGTGAGAGGATGTCGGTTCATGTTGAGTTCAAGGTCAGAGGGAGGCTGGGATTAGAGGGGACACACAGACAGGAACCTTCAGGAGGAGGTATGCTAGCCAACCCAGAGAAGGGGAGGCTCCTAGTGCTGGACACTTCAAGGGACAGGCTTCTGCAGGGGTGGTGGCAGTGGGGCACCAGGGTGAAGACAACTTCATCCAGAGGTGAGGTGTGTCAGTGGTGTGTGTGTGGCGTGTGCACTGATGGAGACAGGAGAGGGGACCTGGTGGAAAGGAAAGTATTGGGGGAAAGTGTTGTCAGTGTTGGGGTTCAAGGTGGATGTAGTTGGCTGACCTGGCTTGGACTGTAAACGCCCAGGAAAGATAGATGTTCAATAAATGCTTGTTAAATGAATGGCCTCCATCTGTACGATCTCCGGGTATTTGCCCTCTTAGTGTACAGGCGGAAGAGTGAGCCAGGCCACAGATGAGGGTCTCCCATGCGGTGGGCTGGCAGGAGGGAGGGCTTCCATGGTGCCATCTTCGCCTCTGCCCCCGGGCCATTCTGACCGCAGACCTGGCCCCTTCTCCCAGGGCACTTTCCAGCAGATGTGGATCTCCAAGCAGGAATACGAGGAGGGCGGGAAGCAGTGCGTGGAGCGGAAGTGCCCCTAAGCGCGGCCACTCCTCGCACGCGTGTACCTGCGGCTCAGCGCTGACGTCTTGGGGTCGGAGAGGACTGTTCCAGGCCAGGACTCCAAGAGTGCCGATCTGAGCTCATCTGGCCTCCCTCCCCGTTCTCACACCGCTCCCTGCTCTGCCCCTCTTGTCCTGATTGTGATGTTTCTCAGTTGAAAGAAGTAAAAATGTTTTAAGGAAAGAAAAGAGTTTGGTCTCTTGTGGGGCCACGAGAGACCCGGAGGGAGGCGAGCAAAGGGATGCACCTACACTAATACGCGGCTCCACGGCAGGCCTGGGGCCGAGCCCCAGGAGCACGGATTCCTCAGGTTTCAGGGGAACCTCGACCCAGGGAACACCACGCCGGGCGCACCTAGTGATGAGCGGGGCTGGGAAGCGGGAGCCTGGAGAAGCTTGCAGGACAGCCCGGGGCGGGGCCTAGGCGCGGAGGGGCGGGGCCTGGGTGGGCGGGGCGGTGGCTGGGCTGGGAGCCGGCTTTGGTCTCAGCAAGCCCTGGCCCCAGCCCGTCAATCTGCACCTCAGGACCTGGCCTTCGGGTGAGCCGGCTGAGCCGTGTCTTCCTTCCCTGGTTTCTGCTTGGATAGATGTGGGGCGGAGTTGGGTTATTGGCGAGCCCCGAAGGCTCGTCTCTCTAGACCTGGGCTGGAGCTGAGGTTTCCCGGGGCGCCCTCAGGGCGGTGAAGTGAATGGGTGTGGACCCCGAGCCACAGTTCTCCGGGCTGTTTGCCTAAGGGTCCTATGCTGGGTTTGGAAACCTGCGCCACCTGCTTGAAATTGTAGGGTAAACGTAGGTGCTTCTTGGGCGAAGTTGTGTGGCCTTCCATCAGACTGAGTCCTCAAAGGACTCTCTGAACAGTAGCCAAGTCCTTCGGTGACCAAGAGTCACTGTGCTCAGGGAGAACCATGACTTGTCCAAGGTCATGCAACTCTGCCCCCTCCTTGGCCAGAATCCTTTCTGCTTCCCCTAAGCCGAGTGGACCCTGACTGCCAGATCCCTGACCCCAGGCCTCACTGGTCCCTCCTGACTACGTTTAGCCCTCCCGTGCCCCTCCCTTCCCAGCAGGCAGCAGAGGCCAGATTCCAAATAGACACCCACACACCAGACCAAAGCCTGGGTCACACCCCTGTGGTGGCCGCTGCCTAGGACCCCGGGGGCAGGAATGAGGGAAGGGGACAGCGGATGTGCCAGGCAGGCCTGGCTTTGGGGATCTGCAAAGCCAGAGGAGGAGGGAGCAGATATCTTCACGTGAACCTCCCAGGGGGCTGGAGGGCTTTGGAAGGGGTCCTCAAGAATACTCTTAAGAAGGGTGGGAGCAGGAGAGGGGAGAGAGGTACCCATATCTCCCTCTGCTTTCAGCTTCCTCCCCCACTCCTGACCCCTGACGGGAACCCAAAGGCCAAAGTCTGCTCCAAGGTTTAAAAAAAAAAAAAGAAAGAAAGAAAAATAATTGATCGTTTTGCGGAGAGGGGGCAGGAGCGGAGCTGTGGCAGAGGAGGGCAGAGCCCCTGCTCCTCCAAGGGGCTGGGGGGCTGACTTAAGGCTAGACCGAGGCCAGGCCTGTACTCCCACCCTGTGTGAGCAGAGTGGGGAGCAGCTTGGGCTCGCACTGCCTGCTGCAGCTGATAAGGGGCCCGTGGGTCTCTCACAAACGGTTTATCACTGGGGGGGTGGGGTAGCCTGCAGGGTTCAGGAGGGGGCATGAGCATGGAGCGGCTTCGGTCTCTACTCCAGACGGCTGCGGTAAGACCAGGGTGGTGGGGAGCACCTTAAACCTCCTAGCAGGACTCCTGGCCCCCACCCCCAAACCTAAGGCTGGCCCCTCCCTGACAGGAGCCCCTCCCTTCTCCACTCCCTCCATTCTGTTTCCCCTCCACCTTCCTCCTCCTCCAGCTCCTCTCCCCACCTGCTGCTCACGTGGCTCCCCAGTCACTGACACCATTACTGTTAGGTCACCCCCACACCCTGCCGCCCTTGCCTCTTCTCTCAATCTCACACCTACCCTGCTCCCCCACGCAGCAACCCTCTCAGAGCATCTATAGAAGGGTGGAAGACTCCCTCCAGGGGCGCCTGGAGGAGGAAAAGGAAGACCAGGAGGAGGGGGCCGAACTGCCGGCCCACTTCTGTCCCATGGAGCTGAAGGGCCCTGAGCCTCTGGGCACTAGACCCGGGCTGCAAAACATACCCTGGGCAGCAGCAGGACGCAAGGCTGCCCCCTACCTGGTCTTGACGGCCCTACTGATCTTCACAGGGGGTGAGAATCATTCCCTTTCTCCCAAGTAAGGGCCTCGGGCTGGGAGAGATTTCTGGAGTCCAGAGGGAAGCACTAGGAGAATCCCTATCTTGCCACCCCCCAGCCTTCCTCCTGGGCTATGTGGCCTTCCGAGGGTCCTGCCAGGCATGCGGGGACTCCGTGTTGGTGGTCAGCGAGGACGTCAACTCTGAGCTGGGCCTGGACTCCCACCAAGGCACGCTGTACTGGAGTGACCTCCAGGCCATGTTGCTGCGGTTCCTGGGGGAGGTGCACCTGGAGGACACCATCATGTAAGATCAGCCCGGCCCGGCCCTTTCCTGGCCCTGGGATCCTCTAGTCACCCCCTCGCCTGCCTCCCTCCCTAAGTCCTTCCACTTGCCTTGCTGGCCTCCCGTGTAGTGGTCCAGGGAGGGGAGGCACCCTCTAGCTGAGACCTCAGGAGGCTAAGGTTCCTCAAGAACTGTGGTGGAGGAGGGCTTCCCAAGTGACAACAAAGGGTGATGCGCATCAACAAGAGGGGGACAAACCCAGAAGCTGCTGCACCTAGTAGCCTGGCTAGGTCTGTGGTAACGAGACTCCCAGGGCTCTTCTAAGGGGCAGTCCAGCAAAGCAAGCAAACAGATGGGTACAGGCCCCATTTACACCTGGCAGAGGGTGCCAGGCAAGCAAGGGCAAGCACGCTTACAGCATGGGAAAGTGGCCTGTGCCCTTTCATCCTGGCTGAGTACCTGTACCCACTACCCCATCTGGATCAGGAGCAGTGTTTCTGTGGGTCCCCGAGGTTTCTAAGCGGTCACATAACTGCACAGTGTAGAAGACATGTCTTGTCTTTTTTGATCCTTACGTACTTACTTGTTTATTACCTGCATTTATTTTGTGGTACTGGAGATCAAACTCATGGCTTTCACACTGAGCTACAATCCCAGCTCTTTTCTGCCAAGTTGCCCAAGTTGGGGTCAAACTTGCAATCTTCCTGCCCCCATCTCCAAAGTGTGGGGACTACAGGTGTGTGCTGCCATTCCCAGCTCCCACCAATCCTCTGTCCTTTTCATTTCTTGGTGTATTGGTGAGGGCATGCATTTAGGTAATGTTCACAGTGGGTACCCTTGCCTACTTCCTGATGTCAGTAGGAATCTTTTCCTAATACTTTGTTACTGGGTATGAACTTTGCTGCAGACTGTAGATGCCATTTTTTTTTTTTTTGTCTCATATGGGGATTGAATCTGGGTACATCCTTAGCCACTTATTTATTTGTGGTACCAGGGATTGAATCCTGGATATTTATACTGAGCTGCTTCTCTCGCTTTCTTGTCTTCTTTCTTTCTTTCTTCCTTTCTTTTTTTTTTTGAGACAGAGTCTCAGCATGTATTCTAGGCTGGTCTTAATCTCCCTTGCAGCTCAAGCTAGCCTCAAACTCATCAGTATCCTCCCGTTTTAGCTTATTTTATTATTTTTAATTAATTATTTATGTTGCAGTACTGGATATTTTTTAAAGTTAGATTTTATTGGTACATCCATGTATCTATCACATTCATCACAGAGAATTTTACCTATACATGATAGAACTTGTTTTTCCTCCATTCCTTCAGTTCCTCCTCCTCTCCCCATTTACAAAGCTTTATTTATTTATGTATTTATTTATTTATTTTTGGTACCACAGATCGAACTTGCAACCTCACACTTGCCAGGCAGGTGCTTATGCTGCTGAGCTAAATCCCTGGTGGATTTTTTACAAAGCTTTGTTCCCATATTTTCTTTCTTTCTTCTTTACTTTTCCCTTCCTTCCTGTCCCCCTCCCCCTTCCCATTTGAACATTTTTCTATTTCAAAGACATTTTGGTTCTTACTTACATTTTCAGTTTCTCACACCAGACAAAGTACTGGGTATTTTAAACCCAGGATCTTTGCAGTGAGCTATATTTTCAGCTTTTCTTTGTTTTTAATTTTGAGGCACAGTCTTGCTAAGTCACCAAATTGCCCAAGCTGGACTCTGACTCTCAATCCTCCTGTCTCAGGCTCCCAGAGTGCTACGATTTCAGGAGGGCGCCACCATGCCTGCCCAGGAACCCAAGCTCTCTGTTTATCTTGCCTTTTAAAAGATCTCAGCTCCAGGGCACTGAGGGAGTTTGTTGTTTTGTTTTCTCAAGTGGCACTTGGTGATCCTGGTACAAGATGAGCAGCTTGGTGGTCCAGCAGGCCCAGGGGCACTCACACTGTCCTGTGAGTGACACTGAAGGTCAGATAGGTGAGAGAGCCAAAGTTAGGGGGACACCAGGGACTGGTACACGGCTGCAGGTTAGATAAACCAGGAAGAGGAGCTGATAGGTTCAGAGAAACTGGACAACCTGGAGAGCTTACTGGGGTTAAAGAGCAGGAACAGGAGGGCGAAGGAAGGCAACAGAACCAGGAAACATCTGGCCAGAGCGGGACTCTGCAGCCCTGGAGGGGGAGCTGATAAACTCCATCCTATTTAACTTGGGTCTGCAGCACTGGGCACAGTGCCTGGCACTTAATAATGCCCATTCAGTAAATCCTCGGTGAACAAATATTCCAAAAGTGGAAGAACCAGCGAAGTGGCCAGACATTTCGGTGGCTGCATCGCAAATGGCATTTATGGTGCCATTTATTCATTTATCCACAAATATTTACTATGTGACAGTGCTCAGCTAAGCAGGTGATCACTTGGTGTGGCAGAGACCAAAGCAGTCTGGCCTTTCGCTCGTGGAATGTATGCCGCATTGGAGCGATCAGTACTAAACTGTTCCTCACGTCAGTGACCTCAGGATTATGACAGGGATCATGGCTTTGAAAGAAAAGTGCTAAGCAGTGACTAGAACAGAAGACCTGGTTTACACCAGGAGTCGGAGAAGGCTTTCTTGAAGAACTGAAGAATGCGTAGTTTGCCAGGCAAAGAGTGGGTGGAAAAGCATTTCAGGCCAGAGAACAGCCTGGCAAGCTGTTGGTGTATGACAGGTCTCTGGCAAGTTGGTGGCCTTTTGAAGGATGTTGAATGCAGCCCACATGGTGACAGCACGTATGTGTCTCAGTCCCTCATTGACTACATTAACTGTTTTATAGTTTGATTCTAAAGGGAGAGGAGAACTGGAGAGTTCTGAGCAACTGAGTTTCATGGTCAAATTGGAAGGGCTTTTTTAAACTCAGGTTCGAAAATGAATTATATAAAAATGATGAATTACGTTCTGTGCATGGTGGTGCACAGCTGTAATCCTAGCACTAGGGAGGCCGAGGTAAAAGATCACTACAAGTTCAAGGCACCCGAGCTACATAGGGAGTTCAAGTTAGTCTCAAGTACATAGTGAGATCCTGCCTCAGAAAAATAAAACAAAGAAGGATAATATTCCTAAGATCATAGTACAGTGTTCCCATTGGGCAGTGAAAGGGCTTTCCCTTTCCCCTCCTTTGAATACCCCATTCCCATAAGCATCTTATCAAATGTGCATTGTGAGTGACCTTGAATACAGGTTGCTTTGACACACAACCAGCCCTCTGTATCCTTGGGTGTACATTCCTGGATTCAGCCAAAAATATTTTTCAAAAATTGTGTCAGTGCTGAACATGGACAGACTTTTTCCTTGCCGTCATTTCCTAAGCAATAGAGTAGAGCAGCTATCTACATAGCATCTACATTGTACTGGGTGTTATGTGTGCAGGTTATATGCAAATACAACAATGAAATTTTTATGTTAAGAGACTTGAACATCCATAGATTTTGGAATCTGCAGGAGTTCAGGAACTTATGTGAATACCAAGGGACAACTATGTATATAATATTGTTTTAGTGCTGGGCTCCAGTGTAGCTTACTGGTAGAGTATATGCTTAGTGTGTACAAGGGCCTAGGTTCAATCCCTGGCACACACACAATGTTTGTGTAAAACTCTGTATGTTCATTATTTTGGGACTGGGGATATTCCTTAGCGGCATAAGCACTTGCCTGGCAAGCACAAGGTCCTGAGTTTTATTGCTGGTACCAAAAAAAAAAAAAAAAAAATCATGATTTTCAAATGTAAGCAATATGGAATAATACAGTTACGTGGTTTTTGAAAAATCATTCAAAGACCCACTATTCAGATACAGCTTTTTTTTTTTTTTTTTTTTTTGTACTGGGGATTGAACCCAGAGCCTTCACCTCAACCTACATTCCCAGATTTTTTTTTTTTTTTTTTTTTGGCTTTTTGTTTTAAGACAGGTTCACACTAAGTTTCCCAGGTTAGGCTTGAACTTTTGGTACACTGATTTCAGCCTCCCAGAGCTCTGGGATTACAGATAGAGGGATCTTCAGTGTGCATGTGTGTGTGTGTGTGTGTGTGTGTGTGTGTGTGTGTGTGTGTGTGTGCTTGCCAGGCAGGAGCTGTGCTGCGGAGCTATATCCCCTGCCCTCTTCAGTGTTGTTTTTTGGTACCAGAAATCAAACCCAGAACACTGTGTTTGCTAGACAGGCGCTTATGCCACTGAACTATACCCCCTGCCCCTCTTTGATGTGTTTTTAAGCTAGATTTTTAAACTTCTTTCAGTGCATTTAAGCTCTGTGCATACTGTAGTGTGTACCTCTAGTTGATTGTTCCTTGCTGCTGCGTGAAAACTCTGTGTGCATTCTAGGGTTTTATGTGCTCATTTATCAAATGCAACTTCAGACAAGCACTTAAGATCCTGGATGGGGACTTGGGTCACAGGGTCCGACCTGGAACTGAGCCTGTGGCCTGCAGACTACACTCCTACTCAGAGCTGAGGATGGTGACCACAACAAAGGAGCTTCATTCACACGTATTTTGAAGCCAGATAGAAACACTGTGGGCTGACCTGGTGTGAAGAGGAAAAAGATAAGCTAGATGCTAAAGTTCTCAATGAAAGTGCAAAAGCAGCTGATTGGTTAGATTCCAGCCAATCATTGTCTAACCATTAGAAGATAACAGTAGTGAGGAGGAAAAGTGGTAGGAGAGCCAGATGGCTTGGGCTTCAGAGGTAGAGTTTTACTCCGGGAACACTGGTAAAAACTCCATAAGGTGGACCCCAGGAGCACCTCCAAACCTGGGAGACTTGGATTCTCAGGGGACAGCCAGGACTCTGTGAAGGCCAGCTGCAGATGAGTGGGGAAGAGAGCTTGTTTGCACAAGAATGGCACCGTGGGGCCAGGTGACCAGTGGGCCATTTGGGAGCAGAGGTGAGATGGAAAAATAACAAGAGTTTGCAGAATGACCTGAGCGTTGGGCGGTGACCAGGAAAGGAGACAAGGTAAAGTCTCCAATGGCACAAGTGACTCAATGTTTCCACTGGGAGCCTTGGTGTAAAGTGTCCCAGGGCAAGACTTGGTGCTACAGAGGGTCTGCTGCTTTAGCTCAGCTGCCCGTTTTTTGTTTTTTCCCCTTACTGGGGATTGAACCCAGGACTTTCACCCTGAGCCACATCCCCAGCCCTCCTTTTATTTTGAGATAGATTGTTTTAAATCACTAAATTGCTCAAATTGGGCTCCAGCTCAGGATCCTCCTGCCTCAGCCTCCTAGAAGGCAGACTGGAACCACAGGTGTGCACCACCACGCCCTGTGCACTTGGCGCTGGGAAGAGTGTTTCTGTGTTTGTTGCACAGACAGGCTCCAGTGTGTGTGTGAGTGCACATGCGCTCCCGCGTGTGTAGTAAGAAGCAGATGGACTGGACAGTTTAACCTGAGGAAGACTGGGATGGGTGTTGAGCAGGACCCTGGCTCTGGGGGGTGGGGGGTAAAGTTTTAGGCAGGGGCCCTGGAACTCCTGGTGGTGACGGGAGAGAGCCTGCTAGCCCGGAAGTCTTTCCCCTAACTTAGACCTGTGCAGTCTGTCCCTTCTCTGCTTCTTCCACACCAGGCGACTCACTGCTGCATGCCAGCTCCTCTCCTGTTGGACCCCAATCCCTTCTCTCCGCTCGCAGGCAAATCAGCCTTCTGGACCGCATGGCGGGCTCGGCCGGGATGGCCAGCCTGGCCCAGGACATACTTGCATTGCTGTCCAGCCTGAAGCTGGATCACGTGTGGACCGACACCCACTATGTGGGGCTGCAGTTCCCCGACCCGTGAGTGCGCGCGGGGGACAGGGGCGGTGGGGGTGCGCCTGCAGGCCAGGTCACTCACCACCCCCCCCCCCCGCTCCTCAGAGCTCACCCCAACACCTTGCACTGGGTCGACGAGGACGGAAAGATCGGGGAGCAGCTGCCTCTGGAGGACCCTGACGCCTACTGTCCCTACAGCGCCACCGGCAACGTCACGGTGAGCGCCTCTTGCTCTAGTCCCAGTGGTGGCCAAGGAAGTGGGCAGCGCACCTCACTGTGGCTCGCGTCCCTAGGGAAAGCTGGTGTACGCCCACTATGGGAGGCCAGAGGACCTGCAGGACCTTAAGGCCCGAGGTGTGGAGCCGGCCGGTTGCCTCCTGCTGGTCCGCGTCGGGGTGACCAGCTTTGCGCAGAAGGTAAGGCTGGGCCTGGGCACCATGCGAGGCATGCATGGCTGCGCAGACCTGACAGCTGATTTAAGGGTGGGAAGTGCCTAGGAAGTTTTGTCAGGGGAAGAAAGGAAAAATCCTGCGGGTTGTAAGAAAATGTTGGTGGAGGCTGGGCGTGGTGGCACACGCCATTAAACCTAGGCTGAGGCAGGAGGATTGCTGCAAGTTCAAGGTCAGCGTGGGCTACATAGTGAAATCCTATTTCCAAAAAAGAAAAGAAAAGAGAAAATGTTGGTAGAGACCCAAAAAAACAGGAAGCTCAAGAACATTCAATTGGGTACAGAAAAGGCAGGCTGGTGGAGAGGGTACCTGAGGGGTGTCAGGCCTACAGAGGCATTTTCCAGGGCACAGAGTAGTCAGACAGTGGCCCAGGATGCCCACAAGTACTCATTAAGAATGGACAGTTGAGGGACTGGGGATTTAGCTCAGCAGCATAAGCAGCTGCCTTGCAAGCAAGCAGTCATGAGTTTGATCCCCAGTACCGATTAAAAAAGAAAGAAAGAAAGAAAAAGAAAAAAAGAACGGACAGTTGTTGGGCATTGTGGCTCATGCCTGTCATCCCAGCATTCTGGGAGCCTGAGGCAGGAGGATAATAAGTTTCAGTCCAATTTGAGCAATTTACCGATTGAGCAAGACCTTGTCTCAAGATCAAAACGGTTTGGGGGTGTAGCTCACTGCAAAGGCCCTGGGTTCAATCCCCAGGGCCAAAAACAAATGAATAAGAAAAGGGTTAGGGATAGCTTAGTGTTCCCTGGGTTCAGTCACTAGTACTGGAAAAAGAAAACAGGATGGAGAATCACAAAGGCTATTTGACTTCTCCTGGTTTTCCTGGACTCCTCAGGTGGCCACTGCACAGCATGCTGGGGCCATTGGGGTGCTCCTGTACCCTGACCCAGAAGACTTCTCCCGGCGTCCTGACAGGCCAGGCCTGTCCAGCCAGCGAGCTGTATACGGACACGTGAGTCTGGGGGGCCGGCAGTGTGGTCCTGAGCACCAGGTCCTGACCATGAATAGCCCTGGTCACAGTTGCAGGATGGGTGCCCCTTTCCCCACAGGTGCACTTGGGGGCTGGGGACCCCTACACGCCTGGTTTCCCCTCCTTCAATCAAACCCAGTTCCCCCCAGTGGCATCTTCGGGCCTCCCCAGCATTCCTGCCCATCCCATCAGTGCTGACATTGGTTACCACCTGCTGAGGTGAGGAGGGGACAGGAGGGAACAGGTTCGGGGTGCTGGAGGTGGCTATTGGTGCCTTTAGGTGAACTAGAAAAAGGTGACGCTTCTGGGAGGACACACCACTTGTCAGGACCTACCATTTGGTGAATGAACCTCTAGCTAGATATCACACCTAGCTCCACTGGACACTCTTGAGCAGGACACATCCTGTACAGCTGTCCAGGGCAGCCCTGGTTGTACTACCCCGCAGGCAGGGTGCAGGGTAGAGATCTGGAACCAGAGTGTGGGAGAGAGAAACGCTAAAGGAGGTTGGGGGCCTTCTGTATGTTGCATGACCCTCTCTGCTACTTCCAACCTTTTCTGCTCTGCTTTCCAGGACACTTAAAGGCCCAGTGGCTCCTTGGGAATGGCAGGGACACCTAGAGTCCCTTTATCATCTGGGTCCTGGGCCAGGCCTCCACCTCACAGTCAACAACCACAGAACCTCCACTCCCATCAGCAACATCTTTGGGTGCATTGAGGGCTTTGCAGAACCAGGTATGTTTGCTGTTCTGTGACCCATGGCTTGTGGGAGCAGAGCTTGTGCTAAGGACCCGGGTCACATGGGGCTGGTGTGGGAGGAGCCAGGGAGAGGACCAGAGTGGTGACCAGGAGAGAGAAACTGGGACCAATGGGTGGGGGCAGCCCCCCTGTACCAGCCTGTCCGGGACAGCTGCATATTACAGTGAGTTTTCAGCACAGGAGGTGAACAAGCCTACATTGGATGCTGTTACAACCAGTTCAACCATAAATGAAAAGTCAATTATAAGACTCTTTCAGGCTTAACTAGATGCGGATGGTGGTGGGCATCTGAGTCGGTTTCGAGCTGGAGAGCAGCGCATGAGTGCTTGGTGGGGGAGGGCAGTGCCACTAAGTACCATCCAGGGAACTGCCAGGGGAGACCCTGGGGACATCCTCAAGCATACTCTGGAGGTATAAGTGGGCTCCAAATATGTCCTTTCCAGATCACTATGTTGTCATTGGGGCCCAGAGGGACGCATGGGGCCCAGGGGCAGCCAAGTCTGCAGTGGGGACTGCCATTCTGCTGGAGCTGGTGCAGGCCTTCTCCTCCATGGTGAGCAATGGTAAGCGCAGGGCCGTGGCCTGGGCTGGGTAGAGCTGGCAGAGGTCACTGGGAATGCAGCCGGGCCTGAGCTCCATACTCCAGTGTGTGGCCCTGGCCTCAAGTCACCACCTCTGAAGTATTTCCTCCTTGAGATGGAAGTACTGGCCATGCCCATGGGTTTGAGTGACAGTTAAGCAGCATCCCTGCACACAGCCGTCTCCATCACTGTTACAGCTGACACAGGGCAGACCCCAGGGGTAACATGGGCTGGGATGGCGGCTTGATGAGAAGGAAGGAACCCCTACCCCAGGATGCGACCATGACAGAGGAACACAAATGAAGGAGTTGTTGGTGGCCACCAGAGGAGCCCATGCTCTTTCCCTCCCACCCTATCCTCAGGCTTCCGGCCCCGCAGGAGTCTGCTCTTCATCAGCTGGGACGGAGGCGACTTCGGCAGTGTGGGCTCCATGGAGTGGCTGGAGGTGATTCCAGGTCCTGGACAGGTAGCCAGGCGGTGGGGAGAGATGGGCGGGTTCCTTCTCCACACTCTTGCCCCACCCACAGGGCTACCTCAGTGTGCTACACCTCAAAGCTGTGGTCTACGTGAGCCTGGACAATGCAGTGCTGGGTGAGCTGGGGCAGCGCCCCCACCGGACTCCCTCAGGCCTGTCTTGGCCCCTGTGCCAATCCCTGAGCCTGGCGTCTCTTGCTTCCTCTTTCTTCAGGGGACAGCAAGTTCCACGCCAAAACCAGTCCCCTTCTGATCAGCCTCATTGAGAACATTCTGAAGCAGGCAAGAGGGGACCAGGACAGGGATGGAGGGGAAGCAGATGGGGACGGAGCCTGAGCCACATTCCCTCCTGCCCCCAGGTGGACACCCCCAACCACAGTGGGCGGACTTTGTATGAACAGGTGGTGGCCACCAATCCCAGCTGGGAAACAGAGGTGTAAGTTGAGGTGGGATGGGACCACAGGGGTGGGGGAGCCTGAGCCCAGGGAATCCTCCAACAGCCCGCCCTGCAGGATCCGGCCTCTGCCCATGGACAGCAGTGCCTACTCCTTCACGGCCTTTGCCGGGGTCCCTGCGGTGGAGTTCTCCTTCTTGGAGGTGAGACTTCTGGCCCAGCCCTGGGAGCCATCTCTTGGCCCCTCTACAGCATGCCCCTGCCCCAGCCCCTCCGTGTCCCTGCAGGATTACCAGGAATACCCATTCCTGCACACGAAAGAGGACACCTATGAGAACCTACACAGGGTGCTTCGAGGCCGCCTGCCTGCTGTGGCACAGGCCGTGGCCCAGCTCACTGGGCAGCTCCTCATCCGGCTCAGCCATGACCACCTCCTGCCCCTTGACTTCGGCCGCTACGGGGATGTGGTCCTCCGACACATCGGCAACCTCAACGAGTACTCTGGGGACCTCAAGGTCCAAGATGCCAGCTTGCTCTGGGGTTGGGAGTGCTCCTTCCCTCAGGTTGCTGCCAGGCCAGGGAGTCTGCTCCACCTTCCCACCTCACCCCTGGAGTATAGGTCTCCTCTGGGAACCTGGCCCTGTTACTCCAGCCTCCATCACCCCAGGCCCGAGGACGGAGCGGGAGATGAACCCCAACATCGCACGTTTAGGGTCTTCTTCCTTACTCCCTGCATCCTGCTCCCCATAGTCCTTCCTCCTGGTCCCAACCTTGTCCCCCAGCACCTAACCTCATCCTAAGCTAGGGTCCTGGCCCCTGCTGTTGGCCCCAGCCCATGCTTTGCCCTCAGGCCCGTGGGCTGACCCTGCAGTGGGTGTACTCAGCGCGGGGTGACTACATCCGGGCAGCCGAGAAGCTGCGGAAGGAGATCTACAACTCGGAGGAGAGCGACGAGAGGCTGATGCGCATGTACAACGTGCGCATCATGCGGGTGAGGCCCTGCCCCTTCCAAAACCGACCCCCCCCCCCACGTGGGTGAGGCCCTGCCCCTTCCAAAACCGACCCCCTCCACACACGTGCGCAAGAGTCTGCGGCTTCGAGCTTGCTCCATCTGCACTCAGCTGGTCCAATGGTTGGATCCTGTCTTCCGGACACGGCCTGTCCAGGATCCTCAGTGCTCACAGATCAGCCAGGCTGGAGGACCTGGCTGGTTATGAGGCAGGCAGGCCCTGTGGAGGGCTAGCCCTTTGGCTATCACAGCTCAGCCTACAGGGTTGCAGCCTATTTCCCGTTCCCGAACCCCTCAGGAGAGAGAGCATGTCCACCACTGTCCGCAGTACAGTAAACACAGGTTACAGCCTGGCAGGTGCAAAAGACTGAAGAATTGCCGAGTGAGGAGAGCTGTCTTCCTTCTGGCAATGATGTCACTGGAATCCAGACAGGCTGCCTGCAAGAGGTTAAAGCGCTTATTCACGCGCCAGTCCTTCCTGATTAGTTTGGAATGTCTTGGCAGCTCGTATTCCTTCTGCAGTTCTCATCTCCTCACCCCAAGAACTCAACCTTAAATCAGTGGTGGCGAATGTATGGCACGTGTGCCACAGCCACAGCAGGCTGTGTCATTGCAAGCTCTAAAGGGCTCGCTCACGCTGCCCTGATTTCAGGAAATAGGTGGGTCAGGACTGTGTGAAGGCTTCACAGAGTGAACTTAGAAACAGGACCGTTCCCAGCAAGTGCAGATGAGCAGGGGGAACCTAGAGTGCACACAAGTGTGTGCTTCACAGAAATCATCACCTCTTGGGGGTTCCTGGCCTTTTCTCCCCCAGGTTTCCCCGTGTGCCACTGCCCATGTCCCTTGGCATCAGGCATTCTGCCTTTCTGCTTACAGACTTGTCTCTCTAGCTCTTCCTCCCCTACTCATGTCTCCTGTTCTCTTTAATACTCCTTTCCTTCTGTCTCTTCTTCCTCCTCTCCTGATCTCTCTTTCTGCCCTTCTTTTTGTCTCTTCCACTGAGACACACGTGACTGTGGAGTGAGACTAGCGATTGGACGGTGGCTCGGTCCCATTCACAGGTCTTGGTTTGTTTTCTGCTATGTCAGGCTTCAGAAACAGCCCGCTCTGAAAGTTGCTTCCCACCAAGGAGTAAAGGGCACTTATGTGTAAAGGTTCACGACTCTAGTCCAGGGCTGGAGGCAGGGAGACTCAGGACTTCAGACCCGAGGAACCCTGGCTCTGGACCAGGGGTTGGTAAACTACAGTCAGCATGCCAAATTCAGGCTGCTGCCTGTTTTTGTCAATAAAGTTTTATTGCAACGCCAGCCATGCTCATGGGTTTCCACATTGCCCATGGCAGCTTTTGTGCTGAAGCAGCCACACAGCACAATTTACTTGCAATTGAAACAGCGTGGCCTGAAAAGCCTAAGATATTTACTCCTTGTTTTTTTACAAAATCTGCTGACCTCTGCTTCAGACTGTGTGACTTGGGTCTTGAAGAGGAAGGATTTGGATCAATGCTAAGAAGACATCTGAGGGTGGAGAGACCAAGAAAATAGTGCAGCTTAGTGAAATAGGCCTGGCTTTTCTTGAAAACTGAATGTGGACCAGTAGAGTCATAAAGAGGCCCTGTGGAGAGGCAGAAATGAGGGTAGCAGAAAATAATGGGTTAGAGATTGGCTGTGGGGAGTTTAACAGGCCAGGATTTTTTTTTTTCTTTTTTTTAATCGGTACCGGGGATTGAACTCAAGACTGCCTGCTTGCAAGGCAGGCACTTATGCCGCTGAGCTAAATCCCCAGCCCCAACAGGCCAGGATTTTGAGGGTCTGGGCAACCAGGTAAATTCAATGAAGGAGGTATTGTGCACAAGTGGGAAGGTTTTTGGCCAGAGTGTAAGTGGCCTGAAATTAAAGCTGAGCCCTGGATGAGAGTGGTAGGTGGCAGCAAATACCTATAGGTGGGGACTGGACTGATGTGAGGAATTTGGAAGGAAAAATGAACAGACAGGGTATCGAGGAAAGGAGAGAACTGCCATTTATAGAAAGCTGCTATGTGATAGACCCTTACTTCATTTTGTCCCATAGACCCCCTCCTCCAAGCCTGTGAGGTGGCTAGCATTATACGTTGTTAGTTTTAGTATTTATTTATTGATTGATTGATTGATTGATTGTCTTTTTCCTTTTTATTGGTACCAGGGATCGAACTCACGACTGCCTGCTTGCAAGGCAGGTGCTTATGCCACTGAGCTAAATCCCCAGCCCCTTCGTTTTTATTTTTTGAGACAGGGTTTCACTATGTAGTTTAGGCTGGCCTTGAACTCAATGCATTCTTCCAGTCTCAGTCTCCTGAGCGTTGGAGTTAGAGGCTTGTGCCACCATGTATGTTGCTAGTATTGTGGGCAGATACTAGGCTCAGAGAGGCCAAATAACTTATCCAAATCAACTGGCTGAGATGAAAGTGGAGCCAGAATTAGAGATCAGGCAATATGGTCACCCCATTCATCGGTGAGGACCAGCCTCCAAGGATGCATGGGGAAAAGTGGGTGCAAGGTTCAGAGTTTGTGTCTCCTCCCCATGCTGGGATGGAAGCTGGGCTCTTGTGCATGCTAGGTAAGCATTATACTCTTGCATCACATGTCTAGCTTCCAGGTGAAACTTTTGGGATAGGTTGGCAGAACCATGTGTGTGAGGCTGTGTCCAGGAACCCCTGACCTGTTGGGGCAGGATTACAGTGGCTGATTTGGAGAGTTGGGGTCCAGGTTTTGTATGAGCTTTGTGATCAAACACATTAAGGCTACCTGTAGAGATTGTCATTTCCCTAGGGTGGCACACAGGCAAGGATTTAAAAGTCTCCCCTGAGCCAGGCACGGTAGCACATGTCTGTTATCTCAGCACTTTGGGAGGCTGAGGCAGGAAGTTCAGTCCTGTCTCAAAATACAAAATAAAAGATGGCTGGGGATTAGCTCATTTAAAACATCTGGGTTCAATCCCCAGTATCTGAAAAACAAAATAAACAAAAAAATTTTTTCCCTGGTTGATTCTAATGTGCAGCCAGGGTTGAGAGCTCCAGGGCTGTAGGTAGATACAAAGCCGAAGGAGTTCATCTCAAGGTCTGTCCACTGGTGGAGACCGCAATATGGGGGAATGGTCAGGAATGAGGCCATCTCAGGAACAGGGAACAACACCTGGGGCAGAGGGTGACAGGGTGCATCATTAGGACTGTGTTGTCCCCTTGACCTTTGACTCTGTACTGTAGACATTGGCAGAGGGGGGACTGGGGTGTGGGGAGACACGGTATTAAGACAAGCAACAGGACAACAGATTGATTTTTGAGGCTTTGGGCAGGAAAGTGAGTGGGTTAGGAAGGAAATCTGGGGAGACTAGGTGCAGGCTTCAGGGGCTCTAGCCATAGAAGGAAACCTCCACAACTGTGGGAGGCATCCTGTCCAGCTACTGATCATGTCACAGGATGCCTGTTCCTGATTGGACAAAGAGAGGTGGCCAGGAAGCAAGATGCTGAACCATATTTATAAAGGAGGTCCTAGGTGCCCAGGTCAGTTAGGAACTGCAGGCTGGATGGGGGTTTGTAGTCTGTGCCCCAAGGAAATACTCCCCAACCTAGACCCTCTACTCCCCCATTGTGCAGGTGGAGTTCTATTTCCTGTCCCAGTATGTGTCACCGGCTGACTCCCCATTCCGACACATCTTCCTGGGCCGTGGAGACCACACGCTGGGTGCCCTGCTGGATCATCTACGGCTGCTGCGCCCTGAAGCCTCCCAGTCGCCCAAGGCCTCCTCTGGGCTGCTGCCCAGCGTGAGCTTCCAGGAAAGTCTCTTCCGGCGCCAGTTGGCCCTGCTCACCTGGACGCTGCAGGGTGCAGCTAATGCACTTAGCGGTGATGTCTGGAACATTGATAACAACTTCTGAGACCTGCAGGCCCTGGACCCACATTCCCCTGGTGACAGCTCTTCCCCTCCCTGCTTGTGCAGTGGAGGGTGAAGGACGTGACTCTGTGTGCCTCTCATTGTGACCATTAATCCTCACAGTCTCTGTGCCATGGGTCTGGCACAGACATCCATACATCTTTAGACCTTCCTTAATGTGACAGTCACACCATCGGTTAATCAGGAGCAGCAGCCCCTTGGGCAACCACAGCCCCTTGCCCCTCGAGAACAGGATCTCCATACCTAAAGCCCATGAGAAGCCTTGCTGGGCCCTGCACCCGGCCAGCTACCTTAGTGGGAGAGATGTCCTGGCTCCTCAGCCTTATTATGGTCCACAGGTGGTCTGTGGTAGGAGGGACATGGGGTTTGCATGTCAATAAACCACCCGTGACATCTGTTGTTCATAAATACCTTATGTGTCCTCTTCACCCCCACCCTCATCCTTTATCCCTTCCTTGAGAGCTGGGGAGTATTGAACTAAAGGCGTCAGAGGAGGCGTGTAGGATGCTGTCTCTCCAGGGAAAGTCAGCTGATCTATTGCCTAAGGAAACTTTGGAGCCAGGCACAGTGGCCACACGCTACCAGTTCCAGCTCTCTGGGAGGCTGGATGGAGGATGCAGGAGGACTGCGTGTGCAAGCCCATTTTGGACAACTGAGCAATTTAGCAAGAACTTGTCTCAAAACAAAACATTTTTAAAGGGTCGGGGATGCAGCTTAATTGCCAGTCCAAGAAAAAAAAGTCCTCATCGGGAAATTGCCTCAGCACATAATGAAGATCCATTTTCCAAAGACTACTGTTGGTATGAATGGAGTCCTGGCCTTGGAACCAAGAAAGGGTGCAAAATTGGCAATCCCTGGTGGAAATTCAGGCCCTCTGTTTAATAAGCTGGAACAAATCAAGTGTGGTAATACATGTCTATTATCCCAGCACTTGGGAGGCTGAGGCAGGAGGATCACAAATTTAAGACAGATAAGCACTTTATCTTAGCAAATTCTGGCACAATAGAGAAGCAAACGTATAGAATGTACAGGTTTATTGAGGATGAGCACACAACCCATGGCAGTTGGGCTGTCTCCTTCAACGGAATACAGACAGGCAGAGGGTTCTATGACCTCTGATTGAAGTGGCACAGGGGGGCGGATATTGATGCTGTATGTGGAACTGATTGGAATTCTCTATGTGTGCAAACAGGAAGGGGAGTTGCAGTTAGGGCTGAAGAAGAAGCAGGAAGTGGTAGGCCTTCCCACTGTGGCCTTCCACCATGTTAGACCACCGCCATAACTGTACAGTAATTTATACTAGGGCAAGAACCTTTCACTTTAGAAAGACCCTCTATCGAGTATTTTAAAAATGAAGAGGGCTGAGGATGAAGGTCAGTGTAAATACCCTGGGTTCAATCTCCGAAAAGTAAAAATAAATAAATCCTAGAGTCCATCTCCTTGCCTCCCTCTTGCCTCCAGAAGGACAGGAGAGATCTTGCTCACTCCTCTGGTCACTGGGAAGTAAAGGCCCCTTGGTCTAAGGCTTGAGATATTTCAGTCCCTTGGTTTAGGGATCAAATTCCCAAGCCTGCTTTGGTTGGTTCCCAAGACCCTGAACTTGGACAGGGTCAGAAACGTCCTCAAATGCTTGCTTGGCTGGCACAGGCTCCAGAAGTAGCTTCACAGCTCTCCCTTCCCTTGTCATTTCAGTCATGATCTTCACAAAGATGTACACATCCTGTCCTTGAATGTTTTTGTTTTGTTGTTTTGTTTTTGTCTTGTTGAGACAGGGTCATACTATGCAGTTCAGGTTGGCCTTGAGTTCACTTTGTAGCCCAGCTTGGTCTCAAAATCCTGCCTCAGCTTGGGATTACAGGTGTGGGCCGCCACGCCTGGCCCCTGAATGTTGCTTAATGTGGCAGAATGGATTTTGCAGATGAGATTAAATTAAGGATCTCATAGTGAGGAGTGTTAGCTGCACATGCTAGGCAGAGGGCAGCAAATTTGAGCCAGCCTGGGCAATTTAGTGACTTAGGGAGACCTTGTTCAAAATATAAAAGGAGCGAGGATACAAAGCCCTTGGGTTCAACATCCACTACCACAAAAAAGAAAAGAGGGTTATAGACTGAATTGAATTGTGTGTCTCCTCCCAATTCCTACACCAAGTCTTGAACTTCCAGTACCTGTATTTAGATATAGGGCCTTTAATGAAGTGATTAACTAAAACAAAACCCTAAAATAGGGGCTGGGGATTTAGCTCAGCGGCATAAGTGCCTGCCTTGCAAGCGCGTGGTCGTGAGTTCGATCCCTGGTACTGATTAAAACAAAAAACAAAGAACCCTAAAATAACAAAACAAAAATCCTGATATTAAAGCAGGAACTAGCCAGGCATGTGACTCGTGTCTGTAATCCAAGCACTGGGAAGACTGAGGCAGGAGGATTGCCCAGGGTTCCAGGCCAGCCTTGGCTATGTAGTGAGTTTGAGACCAGCCTCAACTACAAAGTGAGACCCTGTATCCAAATAAATAAAAAAATAAAAATAAAGTGAGATCTGATCCAGTCTGATGGGTGTCCCAGAGAAGCAGAAATTTGGACACACAGGCACCAGAGATGTGTGCACATGAGGACTCAGCAAGAAGACACCTGTCTGCAAGCCAAGGAGGTAGGCCACGGAGCAAACCAACCCCGCTGACCTCTTGGTCTAGGGCTTGTGGCCTTCAGAATTATGAGAAAATAAATCTCTCTTATTTGGTTTCTGGGGCATTGGCTTTTGTTTTTGTGTTTGCTTTGTTTTTTTGGTGCTGGGATTGAACTCATGACTGGGCTGGCACTTAAGCCATTGAGCTAAATCCCTGGCTATTGGGGGCATTGCTTGTCTTTTGTTTGCGGTGCTGGGAATGGAACCCAGGGTCTGGCACAGGAGCTCTCTGCCACTGAGCCATGCCCCCAGCCCTCAGCCTATGCCATTCTATCCAGGCAGATCTAGCACACTAGTACAGGGGAGTATCCCAGATTAGGGTGGGGGTGTGATTACAAGCGGAGCCTTGTAAAAGGAGACGGGAAGATCAGAGACAGAGATGTCAGTGGAAGCAGGGGTCAGTTGAAAGGTTCTTGCCCTAGTATAAATTACTGTACAGTTATGGCGGTGGTCTAACATGGCGGAAGGCCACAGTGGCAATGCCTACCACTTCCTGCTTCTTCTTCAGCCCTAACTGCAACTCCCCTTCCTGTTTGCATGCACAGAGAATTCCAGTCAGTTCCTCACACATCATCAATATCTGCGCCCTGCACCACTTCAATCAGAGGTCATATAACCCACTGCCTGTCTGTATTATGTTGAAGACAGCCCAGCCGCCATCGGTTGTGTGCTCCTTTCTACATCCTCAATTCAATAAACCTGTTTGTTTTGTATTTTTTGCTTCTCTATTGTGCTAGAATACTCTAACATTATGGTGCCTTGAAACTCAGATAGCTGGGGATTTAGCTCAGTGGCATAAGCACCTGCCTTACAAGCACAAGGTCATGAGTTAGGTCCCTGGTTGCGAAGCTCCTGGGAGTCACTCCCAATTCAGGCTACTCTGCCTATGAACCACCTATTTTTTTCCTTTGAACTTATCTGTGGCTGTAGCAGTTTTCACGCTCCTTAGGCAGGACAGCCTGAAGCAAGACTGTTAATTTTGTTCCCTGGAATCCCACCCCATACTCTTCAGTGACACCAAGGAAAACGGGTGTCAGAAACTTCCATGTCACACTTTCAAGACAGTGATGACTTCTTGTGACAGGCATGATCCAGGACAGCTTCCACGTTCCTTGGGAGAGAGCTAAAGCTCTTACGTCCCGAGGTGAAGTGGTTCTCTCAGCTCACTTATAATTTCATAATAGGGACCATTTCCTGTCCCCCAAAAAATACATCTCTGGGGTGCCTGGTTTATAACCTTGGTGCTTTTGACCTCAAAAAGGCTATAAAAACCCCCAAAGCTGATCTTTTATTTATAGTTTGGTCATAATGGTGGCAAGATGGCAGAAACCCTTCATTTTTAGGCCATTTTACTTTGAGGATGTGTCCTTCTCTCACTCTGCCTTGTGGCCCAGATACTTCTGGCTCACTTTGCTCCACCAGGATCTCTTCCTCCCTCCCCACCAGACCCCTTAGATCATCCATTTCCTGTCTTTATGGCTCTTCTCTGGTATCTCCAAAACCAAACTCTGCACCTTTCTCAGCCAGAGGTTTCTGTGCCCCCTGCACCATCCTCTCCCCGTTCCTCACCCCCAGTGGCCTCTAATCCTTCCTTTAGTTTCTTTCCCCAGTCTCAGATTTCTCAGTCCCCTCTACCTGCACCCTATATTCATTCAGATGGCTCTTTTTGTCCCCTACTCCTGCATCGCCATTTTCTGTGCCGGCTCATCATACTTGGTCTTGTGCGTTTCAGTCACCTAGCAGGCCACATGGTTCTCAGCAGCCATCTTGTTAGAGCTCACATGGAAGATAGCCGCCATCTTGCGGCTCTCTGCCATGTGACAGTGCTTTACCATCTTGCAACAGGTCACAGGGTAAATGGCAGCCATCTTGCGATCTCTCATCACAGGATCAGCAGCAGCCATGTAGTTGTGGGTCTCATGGTAATCAATCGCCATCTTGTGTTTTCCTGTCACATAGTGATGAGCAGCCATTTTATAGTCAGTCACCCAGTAATTGCCCACAGACACCTGCTGGCCAATTGGCTACTCGGTGGCCATCTACATCTCCCACTGTATAGCCTTCTTAGCCTCAGTCCCTATGCCCTCTTCAGGAACAGGCTTTTTCCCTCATTGACCTATCTCAGAGTAACCATAAATTAGGTTCTTTTTCTGCTATTCTTATTTCAAGAGATCTGTATTAATTAATCTATAAAAAGATTCACATTAGTCTATTTATTATAGTTCAAATTGGCCAAACATATTTAAGTGCATTCTGAGTTTGTAAGATATTTGTCAGTCTATATATCTGTTGTCTGTTTGTCCAGTCTGTTTATACTGTACAGACTGTCTGTCTGTATTTGTCCATTTGTCTGCTCTGTAAACAGCTGTTCCTTTTTATTTGAGCTCAATAATCTTTTTCTTTATCTTTTGCATTTTCGGATCATTTAATCAAGGTATACTTGGGTTATGGATTTAAAGAGCATGCTTCCATCTAGTTTGTCAACTTGTCAAAATGATGCTAAAACTGGTTAAACAAAATTGCTTGGGATTGAGGAGACATTGGAAAAGATTTCAACTGATGAATAAGAAATTGGCCATGTGGTAACTTTAATCAGCTCTTATTCATTAATCTGAGGCCTCAATAATCTCCATAGCCTTGTGGGAGACACCCCAACTAAAGTTCATATGACTAAGACAACTTCTTGTTGCTGATCTGATGGTATAGTCATACCTTCAGATATAAAATTGGGATTGTTTATGATGATAA